CCGCGCGCGCGCGCGAGGGCGTGCCGGTCGAAGCGCGCGCGCGATCGACGCGCGCGCGCGCGAGGTCGGGTTTCGCACGAGTATCTAGGGTTGCGCGAACCCATCGAATCGCATCGAATCGCATCGCATCGCATCGAATCGCATCGCATCGACGCCTCGACGCCGCGCACGACGACGCGCGAGGTCGTCGACGGGCGTGACGTCGAGGCGCGACGTCGACGCGCGCGACGGGCGACGACGCGCGCCGTGACGGGTGCGTCGACGCCTCGAGAGAGAATAATCCGAAGCGTCGGCGTCGACCGACGGTGACGACGCGTCGGGCGACGGACGGGGGCGATGTCGTACAAGGACATGGGACGCGCGGGACCGCTGGAGATTCGAACGCGAGGCCCGCCGTTCGGTGGACTCCCGCAAGCGCAGGCGGGGATGAAGCGATCGGACTCGATCGGGACGATTGAAAAGTACTGGGACGACGACGCGGAGTGGTACGAATTTCACCCGAACGCGCTCGCGCGAGAGGGTGACGGGAAGTTCAAGGAGCTGGCGGTTGGGAAGTTGTTGACGGTGTTTTTGGACTACGATGGGACGCTGACGCCGATCGTGGACGAGCCTGATAAGGCGTTCATGGACGACGAGGTGCGGGAGGCGGTGCGGCAGTGCGCGCGAAGATTCCCGACGGCGATCATCAGTGGACGGTCGAGACACAAGGTGTCGCAGTTCGTACAATTAGAAGAACTGTATTACGCCGGATCACACGGTTTGGACATCGCGGGACCGACGCGGACGAGCGACGGGACGCCGATTACGGCGACCGCGTTGGCGCATCAGCCGGCGCAGTGGGCGCGAGACGTCATGGACCGCGTCACGAACGATTTGATCGAAAAGACGAGAGATATTCCGGGTGCAAACATCGAACACAACATGTTTTGCGTCTCTGCGCACTACAGAGGCGTGAGCGACGCAGATCGACCGAGATTCCAGAAGATTGTGGACGAAATCGTCGCCTCGGATGAGTGTTTGATCAAGCACGACGGGAAAATGGTGTGGGAGGTGCGACCGCGCGTGGCGTGGGACAAGGGTAAAGCGTTGTCCTATCTTCGTGACGCGCTGATCCCAGATTTAGCGAAGAAAGGATTTGGATCGGAGGAGGTGTTCACGGTTTACGTCGGCGACGACGTCACGGACGAGGACGCGTTCATGGAGATCAACGAAAAGTTGGGCGATCACCTCGGCGTGGGCGTTCTCGTCTCGCACGCGCCCAAGGTGAGCGCGGCGAAATTTAGTCTCCGAAACACTCCGGAGGTGCTTCAATTCCTCACAACGTTGAGCAAGCTCGCCGACGCGGGTGAAGTGAAGACGCTACCGCGTTGATTGCATTTGGCCATCCATCTTGAGTTGCACTTGTTACAATAAGCTACCGATACTTTACACCTATCGACGTCATTTCCTGCCTTTCTTGTTGTTCTTCGACGAAGACGGCGCGTCGTTCTCGATTGGCATCGATTCTTGCGCGCCCGCCGGAGCCGCGTTGCCTCCCGTGATGCGCATCGAACCTCGACGGAACAGCTCGACGGCGCCCTTGGCCGCGTTCTGAACTCCTTGACCGACGTTTTGAGCCGCTTTTTTCACGTTTTCCAGCGCGTTTATCTTACGCTCGAGCTCTTCGATTTTCTTTTCCAGCTCGCTCGCTCGCGCCTCGGCTTGATTCTTCAAGCGTCTGCACGCGTTCTCGCGCCACCGCGCGCCCACCTCCAACGCCTTGGCTTCCTTGATTTCCTTGGCCGTTTCCTCGCGAACCTTTTTCAGTTGCGCGGAGTGGTCGGCGGCCATTTTTTTAATCGTAACCTCCTTGTGCTGCTTCCTACGCTGCATCACCGACTCAGCCGCGTCTCTGCTGTCCTGGGCTTCGCGCAACGCGGCGTCGCGCTCTTCGCGAAGCTCGACAACTTGCTGACGAAGCTTGGACGCGTCGATGTTCGACGCGTTCTTATTAAGCGTCGAGCTTTGAAACTTACTCTGCAGTTCTTTGTTGCGCTTCTTAAGTTGATTGATTCGCGGTTGCCGAATGATCCAAGCGAACAGAGCTGGGACGACGAATTTGCAAACCTCCACGACGGCGTTCGGGTTGTTCTTCAGCTTGGTCAGCTGCGGAGACGAAGCGGACTTTTTCGACGAACTCGTCTTTGCCTTATCCGCGGGCTTCGTCTTCGTCTCTTTCACCGTCGCAGCCGCCGCCGATGCTCTTTTTTTCGCCTCCTTATCCTTCTGTTCTTTTCTCGCCTTGTCCTCGGCGAGCTTCACCCGTCGTTCCGCTTCACTCTTCACCCGTCGCTCCGCCGCCTCCGCGTGCCTCAACGCTTCCTCCGCATCCTTCAGAGCCGATTTCTCCGCCAAACTCGCGCCTCGTCGCGACCCACTCGCGCGAAGATCCTCCGCCGAGCGCCTTCGATCCGCCGTGGCCTCGCTCGCCGCCGTCAACGCCTCGTCCAGGTCCGTCGTCAGCGTCCTCGACCGCTCCCGCAGCGTCTCCAGCGCGCTCGGCCCTCGATCGTTCGTCTTCGTCGCCTTCACCGGCGCGTGCCTGCGTTCTCTCGGGAGCATATACGCAGACGTCTCGTCCGCGCGCCGCGTCCCGCGCGCCGCCCGCTTCTTCCCCCCCTCGTCATCCTTCACGTCCCACGCCCCCGTCATCGACCCCAACGTCGCCTTCGCCCCCTCGTACCGCGACCGCGCATCGTTCGTCACCGCCCGCGTCGCCAGGGCGACCAAAGACACGTCCACGCGCTCGCGTTCCGGCATGCCGTCGATCACCAAGCGTCCACCGCTGACACACGGGCGATCGACCCGTCACCGCGCAGTTCGCGTCCGCTCTCGCCCGTTCTCGACGCCGTCGACGCGATCGACCCGTGCGCGCGTCCGCGGTGGGTCCGAATCGCCGCGTCCGGGCGTCGCGGCCGTGTCTCCCGCCCGACGCGCGCGCGATGGGCCTCGCACGACGACGGATGAATGTGACAAAACTAGGGTATAGGGTATAGGGTTTAGGGGTGACGCGACCGACCCCCCCTCGGCGCGCGTGCGCCACGTCAGCGCGCGTCGACCGCGCGCATGCGACGCGCGCGCGCGCCCTCGGGCGCGCCGGCGTCGCGGTCGACGCGCCATAGGGGGCGTTCGACCGCGTGTGCGCGATGGACGCGCGCGACGCCGCGCGTGGGACGTGTCAATCGCGTGGAATGTGTCAATGGGAACGGCGTCGAACGCGTCCACGGCCGCGTCGACGGCGCGCAATGGTGGTGGACGCGCGACCGCGCGCGACGACGGACGCATCGCGTCGACGGTGGAGACGTCGATCGAACGCGCGCGCGTGCGCGGGGGACGGAGACGGAGATGGAACGGACGGAGACGCGCGAGACGGCGCGCGCGGGACGGCGGGCGGCGGACGGGGCGAGACGCGTCGTCTTATCGTGCGTCCTCGCCCTGGTCTCGGTGCGAGGGACGGTGATGGTGGTCCCGAGGGCGCACGCGGAAGCGGCGCCGCGGGCGACCGCGAGCGCGGCGGTGCGCGCGCGGTCGGGGGCGATGGGGGTGGTTGACGAATTGGGGGCGCTTCGCGCGCGCGTGCGCGCGGGGGCGACCACCGCGATGGCGAAGAGTTTGTCCACCGTCGGCGACGCCTTGCACGCGATCGAGCTCAAGACGCAAGAGGATTGGAACGTGGAGGATGTCTGGGTCCTGTTCGCGTGGAACTGGCTCATCAGACGCGGACGGGAGAAGGCGTTTCGCGCGTCGGAGCGAATGAAGACGTTGCTGGTTCAAAATTACCGAGAAGCGCAGTTCGAGAAAAGCTTTCTCAGCTGGGTCAAGGCGCCGATGCGAGTGATTCAGGCTTTGTTCGTCGTGTCGTACGTCTTCGACGTCGGATGCTCGATGATCGACATGTTGAGCACGGAGTGGGACATCCCGGAGTACATCAAGCTCGGATTCGACAAGGGGTCGTACACGTTCTCGCTCGGGATCATCGTCGTCATGGCGATTCAGCAGTACGGACCGAAATTGCTCGGGCGGTTTTTACCATCGATCAGAGAGGATGCGAGTCTACAGCTCGTGATCACGCGTCTTACGTCAGCCGCCGTCGTCGTGACGACGCTCATGCTCACGCTCTCCGCGTTCGGCATACCGGCAAAAGTTTTATTCTCGTTCGGCGGTCTCGGAGGTCTGGCGTTCGGTTTGGCGGCCAAGGATTTCATCAGTAATCTCATCGGCGGTCTCGTCTTGGCCGTCATGCGTCCGTTCAAGGTGGGAGAGAAGATATATCTCACCGGCGGCGGCGGTAAATATCGCGATTCCAAGGAGAAGGATGTCAGTAATTACAAGGTGGCGGAAATCGGCTGGTATCAGACCAAGCTCATCCCGAAGGATGGAAAGGTGACGACGATCCCGAACGGCTACTTTCTTGGTGCGAACGTCATCAACACGTCTCGCGAACCAAACGAGTGGCTCGGGCCGCAGCTTCGAATCGCGCTAACCGACTTTGAAGGCATCGAAGCCTTGACGAAGGAGCTCCGAACCTTCCTCTCGCAACACCCAGACGTGAACTCGGCGTACAAGGCTCCGGAAGTCGCGCTGAAAAAGATCGAGGTCGACCATTTAATGGTGCAGGTCGAGATGTTCATGCACGGCGACGCGTACTATGGCGAAAAGAAGTGGAAAGAAAAGCGTCAAGCCATTCTCATCGACATCGTAAAGATCGTCAAAAAGCACTGCCCAAACTCCCCGGCGTTACCCACCGACAGGACGTACGCGATGCCCGCGTCGTCTTCGGCGTGATGGACTAATAAATAACCTACAAGTACCTAGCAGTCGGTACCTAGCAGTCGGTAATAAAATGTCATAATACATCTCACGCGTACACGTTCTCCGCGCGCATCGGGGCGAGACGGGGTTTGTAATCGTGCTCCACGACTCGACCGAGCAGCGCGCTCGCGTGCGCCGCCGCTTCGTTCACGGCGTTCAGGTCGGCACCGCAGTAAAGCACTCGAACCGGTTCACTCTCTGGAATCGCGACGACGCGCGCGGCGACGCCGAGCGCGTCGCACGCGCTCATCAGCGCCGACGCCCCGACCGATTCCAAAAGCCGACCGACCGGATACGCGCGCGGCGGCGCCGGCCACGCCGACCCCTCCAACTCCGCGCGCAGAGCTCCCGTGTCCAATCCGTACGCCACGACTCGATCGATCTCTCCCGCCGTCATCTCCGCCTCGCTCGTCTCGGTCTCCGAACACGACGTCAACGCGAGCACCTTTGTCTTCGACCCACCACGGACGCCGCACGCACGAAGCGTCTCCCTCGCCCACGCCCGAGCGCACGTCCCGGAGACGTCTCCGCGCGTCTCCGCGATCGCCACCGCGCCCGTCCCGCGCGCCCGTCGCCCGACGTGAATCGTCGTCACGCTCGCCGCGCACGCGCTCCCGAACCGCGCCCGTTCACCCAGCGCGCTCGCGCGCGTCGCCCGTCCCTCAGCGTCGCTCGCCGACGTCACGACCGCCCCGCGCGGCGTTCCGTCGCACGCGCGCGCGCATCCCAGCGCGATCGCGCGCGCGGCGTCGCTCCCGACCGCGATGACGCACACGTCCGGCGCGTCATCGGCGTCGACGATCCCACCGAGCGCACGCGCGCGCGCGCTCGCGGCGTACGTCCGCGCGCGCGCGCGCTCGGCGTCCTCGTCCACGCGGTTCCTCGCAAAGTCCACCGAGTCGTCGTGGAGATCGAGCGGGGACGTCCACGCGGACATCACGCGCGGGCGACGGGCGGGCGCGGTGCGGTGAGACCCCGCGCGACGGGGGCGACGGTCGAGGACGGGCGCGCGCGCGACGGGCGGTGGGGCCGGGGGCGCGCGGCGGGGCGTCGATGGGTCGCGCCCGACGTGCGCCCGTAACATTTGCGATGTCTTTTGATGGATGCGTGTGTGTTGATTTTTTTGATTTTATAGCACACGTTACCATAGTGTACCACGCTTTCGACGATGGCGTGCGCGCGCGCGGGAAAACGAGGCTTCGATGGCGTAGTTGGTTATCGCGTCCGCCTTACACGCGGAAGGTCGGCGGTTCGAACCCGTCTTGAAGTAACAGGTTTCTTTTTTGTTGATGTTCGTATTTGAAGTACGTAGACTTTTCTTTGTCGATTCGTCGCACACGACGTGACGAGAGTCAATCTACGGAACGAATCCTTCGCGCGGGCTCGGTCTCGCGGATTTGCTCGGCGTCGCGCTCGGCGTGACGAAGTCGTCGTCGTTGGTCCATTCGGGCGGCGGCGGCGATCCTCCGGCGGTGAATTCCTCTCGGCCTTCATCCCCTTCGAATGAGTCGTTGTCGTAATAGCGCACAAAGTCGAGCGCCTCTCGGGCGACGTCGGCGCCGTCGAAGGCTTCGGTCATGTACGCTCGCGTGCTTCCGAACATGTCCGCCATGGTATCCTGGATGTCGCCGTCAAAGGCGTCCCAGTACCACGTCATGAAGAAGTTCATCGCGACGCGCTTCGCGCGGAGGACTTTTCGAATCATCTCGCGATGCATCTCGCGCTCCTCGACCACGCGCCACCACTTTTTGAACGCCTCTCTGAGCGTCGCTCGGTTGATTCGCAAGCACAGATTATTGACGAGTCTTTGTCGGTACGCGGACGCCTGCGCCTCGATCTTGTTGTCGTTCACCGTGTCGCACCACGCGTTGAAGCACTGCGCAACGCATCGGTTACGAATGCGCGTGGCGACTCGAGCGAGTAGCGCGCGTTGTCGCTGCGACTCTATCGTGTTTTCTCGCCAGCGCCCGAGGGCTTGCGAGAGACGCAAACGAAGCATGCGACTGACAATTTTGCGCAGTTGCATCTTGGCATCGTACGACTCCTCCGCGAATTCGCGCCAACGCGTGAAAGCGTTGGCCAATTCGGTGTTTCGAATACGCGAGTACACCTTGCCAAGAACGTTGTTTCGGCGCTTTTCGTTGACCACGTACTCACCCCACTTGTTCCATGACCTGACCAATAAGCGCATGTTCAGGCGCAGAGCCATACGTTCTAAGAGGACGCTACGACGCTTCTTCTCGGACATCAAATTGCTCCACTGATAAAAACACGCCGCGAGCATGCGATTTTGCGCGCGGACGACTACCTTTCGAATCTTCATACGATGTGTCTTCATCTCCTCGGTGTTCTCTCGCCAAGCCCGCAGGCTCATGGCGAGCGTGCGGTTGCGGAAGCGTAATATGAATCTCTCTGCCTTTTCGCGATTCGCAATCGCACTCTGCGCGTGATCAACCCACGCGGAGAAAGCCTTGATGAGCTCGAATCGTTTAATACGAGCGAGTATCATGTGAGTCATCTTCTCGAGGCGATCGTCCTTCGTGGAGACTTCCGCCCATGCCTTAAACGTCGCGTAGAGCAGTCTACTCTTCATGCGGTGCACGTAGCGAGTCAGAATCACGCGTTGACTGGCGATTGTATCGGCGTTATCCGCCCACGTTTGAAAGGCGCTGCTCAAGGTGACATTCTTGATCCTCAAACCGATTCGCCGAAGAACTATGTGTCTCTTCTTGAGCGCGGTGGCGATGTTTCGCCAGGCGAACAGAGTTTCCTTCTTCGAGCGGCGATCTCTGCGCGCCGAGAAGCGCGCTACGAGGAGATTCGATTCCTTTACTTCGCGATGAGTCTTGAGCCAAGCCTTGAAGGACACGCGCATCATGTCCTTGCTAAGAGGATGAAGGATCTTGTGCAAGAGAAACTCATTATTCGTCGTGAGGACGTTGCCGGAAGCGACTTCCACGGTGGTCATGAGCGTTTCTCGCAACCAGCTCACGCTGTCGTTTGAGTCCACGATGGCCTGGACCCGAGTGAACGGATTCGTGTTCGTGGCGTAACAGGCATTCGCGACACCGCCATCGAAAGCAACACAGATCGCATCGAGTTCGACGGCCGAGCGCGCCTGAGAAGTGAACTCCTGGCGCTTGTACTGACCCGACCCAGCCGCCATACCAGCTTCGAAGGCATCTTCATACTTCGCGAAACTTGCTCTTCTTTCAAGAGCGTAATCGCGCGCATAGTTTCCTCGATAGAACGCACCTAAAATTACGCGTCCAGCCTTCGTCGGCATCTTAGAAACATCGACGAGGAGCTTGCCTCGCGACATCGCCCGATTTTGCTTGGCGGCGTTCTCGACACTTTCACCGATATCATACGCCTTTATCAACCAGATCGCTTCGGGAATCGTGTCCGCGTGCGTATACACGTAATTGAGACGTGCTTGAATCATCCTAGACGCGGCCGCCACACCCTGGTCGAACGCGTGCGTCACATCGCCGATGCTCTCGACGCCAGCGCGTCGCAACGCCGCCTCTCTCGCGAGATTGATAGAACCCAGAGGATCGCTGAGAGAATCGGAGAGCATGTACGTCGCCGCATTTTCTGTCTCTCGTCCACCTTCAAAGGCTGCGCTGACGAGATCGACGCGAACGCCCGGAATCCTGCGCGCGTGATCGATGATAGCTCTACGCAGATGATGATACTTTAATTCTGCACGCGTTTGAAAGCCAGTGATGAGCGCGTTGTCCAAGTGCACACCGATCCGTCGACTCGGTGCGACGCGCTCCTTGACCTCTCGCCGAAGTTTTCCCGAACGATACTCGTTCGCCCACGTTCTGAACGCGACGAAACAGTATCGATTGAGAACAGAGCTGAGCAAACGTCGAACGCGCTTCTCCTGCGCCGCATTCGCCCTCCAAGCCGTCATTACCCTCTTCAACAAATACTTTCGCTGTCCTGACGCGTGATATTTTGAAAACGCGTGCTCGATCGCCTTGCTCTTCAACATTCCCGACCCAGCGCCGCTCACGTGTCGCCACTGCGCAAACGTCCGGCGCAGTAGGCTACCACATTGCACTCGCCGAAACGTGTCGACGATGGAGTTCAAACGCTCTTCGTCAAGATTTTCGAGCATTTTCGATCGAAGCTCGAGAGCGCGACGCTGTTGCTTCATCTCTGCCATCTTCTTATTTCGTTCCTCCACCTCGTTCGCGAGGGAATCGACCTCGGACTGTGCAAATTGCCGTAAACGGTTGAGCTCAGTGAGCGCCCACTCTCGCAATTGATCATCCGCCTGATGGAGCTCGTGAAGCTCCTGTTCGATGATTCGACGAGCGGCGACTTCCTTCTCCAGAGCGGCCGCCCACTCCTTCATCATCGCACCACCCATGACGTGCATGGCGTGCGGTCGCACCCGTGGTTCCTCTGCGGGCTCGCGCGCGACGCGGAAGCGATCCACCGCGGTGAGCGCCCCTCGCGGGGTGCTGTGACGCGACACGCTCTTGACGTCATCCTTCTCGACTTCCTCGACAACGGTGCTCGAGCTCACGACTTTTCCGACGCGCACAATGGTGACGTGCAATCTGTACGCCTCCAATCGTCGATGTTTGAGCGTGATCTCGCACCTCGTCCACGCCGAATCGTTCAGTCGCCTGCGTTCAGCGTCGTCCAAGATCCACTCCTCCCACGTGCCGAAATTCACGCTCGCGAACCCCAAGCGTTGCCTCCCGTGCCTCGTCGCCTGCAGTAAGCGCTCCTTAGCCGCGAACGATCGGAATCCAATGAATCCATTATGCATCAACACCTCCAAGTGCGTCTCCTGTCGTTCCCTCAGCGCCTGCGCGCTCCCGACGCCGTCCGCGTCCGCTTCAAACCGCCATCGCACCTCCCCATCCCTCGCCTCGTCTCGCTCCCCCACCGCAACGTACGGTTTCCCCTCATCCGGCGTCACGAACGCCACGACATCTCCCGCCCGTATCGACGTTCGCGCGCTCGATCCATTCTTATAATCAATCTCTCGTCTCACTTCTCTCGTCCCGCGCTCCGTCCGCGCCCTCGACGCCGTCGACGTCCCTCCCGGCGAACTCGGTCTCGAGCTCGACGCCAAGCGCGCCAACGCGTCGTACGACGATCGTCCGGCGTCATCACCATCGTTTCGTCGCGCTCCGAGCATCTCTCCGGGCGTCACGGCGTCGCACACGCGCGATGGATCGCGCGATGGATCGTTTCACCGTGGAACGATCGATTCGACAGATCGCACGACGGCGCGCGCGACGACCGCGCGCACGCGCGATGCGCGCGCTCGGACCCGCGACCGCGCGCCGATGGGCGTCGACGCGCGACGCCGCGCGCGTGGACGCGTGCGGTGGACGCGAAGTGATGGGATGAATGGGATGAACTGGATGAATGGCTTGGGATGGGACGCGACGGATGCGTCGGCGACGCGTACGGGCGAGACGACGCTTAGCGATGCAATACGCGCGAACGGTGGTCGACGTGGGCGATTACAGCGACGAAGGTCTACGCCATGGTTTCGTTGAACGGGTCGTACGTGCTCGAACCGTCGTCGTTGAGTAAGTTTAACGATCGAAGGCGTCGCTCTTGGTAGTACTCGAGCTTGTCCAGAGAGCTCGCGACGACGTCGAAAAAGGCGCTCGCCTCTAACAGGGCGGATTTCTCGCTCAGACGCGCGCGAACGGCGATTTCTTGACGAATCCCGCCTTGACGCTCGTTCGGTGGCGTGGTGAGAAACGCTTTCTCTTGGTCTAAACTCCTGGTTTCGTACGCCGAGAGCGCGTCGGCGACGCCTCGGGTGATGGAGGCGCAGCAATCGGCTTCGTTCTCCCGAGAAAGCGGCTCGGAGATGAGCGACCAGCACTGCTGGCGGAACAGCGCCTCTAACAGGAAGGCGTCGGTGTCTTTGCAGTGTAACAGACGCAAGAACGTTCGTAATTCGCGATCGGGATCGCTGTACGGCCTCAACGTGAACGTCGGCGCCTCTGGAAGCCCTTGCGTCTCCAGAACATCAAGTTTGTCGAACAGGTTGGCGTCGTCCTCGGGAATGGAGAGCGTGAGCGCGTACCCGGGTGAGGGATTCACCACATCAATGAAACCGTAATCGAGCGCGAATTTCGAATCGATCCCCTCCGGATCGTAGTTGACGAAGATCTCGGCGCCCTCGTCGTAGTCTCGATCGCACTCGACGTAGGCGGCGACGCCAGAGCCGGAACCGCCGCCGAACAATCCCCCCATCCCCCCGCCCCCGCCCACGCGCCATCTCGCCCCGCTCAGCGAGCTGTGATTGATTAAATCCAAACCCGGAACGAGGGCGACGTTCGCGCCGTCGAGGGGCGCCATCGTTCGCGAGCGCAAGATTCCAAACGCCCATCGAAAGCTCGCCTCATCGAACGCACCGTCGACGTCAAACGTCGACGCGTACTCAACGAACACTCCATTTTTCAATTCTTCGTACACCGCTCGCACGTACGCGTCGTACCCGGCGGCGTTATCCAATAACTGCGTCCCCGCGATGTCCCGCAACTCATCCGCGCTCCAAAACAACGGCGAGTCCAGCGTCTTCGGCAGCGTCGCCACGTACGCCGCGAATTCCCCATCCGCCCCACGTTCACGTTCCTTCAACAGCAACAGCGCCACTCGCACCCACGGTTGTTTCACCGCATCGTACCGCGCGTCCCGCAACGCCGCGCCGACGTCCGCGTCCTCCGTCGCCCGCGTCGCATCCATCCACACCTCTCTCGGAATCACCATCGCCCGCGTCCCTCGACGGAGCGTCGTCTTCGCGCGCACGCCAAACTGCGCACGTTCCGAATCGTTCGCGTCCGTCGTCACCGCATCCGCGACGACGCGCGAGACGTCCGCGCCGCGTCGCTCGAGCCACATCCACAACCCATCGTACGCCTCCCTCGACGCACGCGCGCGCTGGGCGTCCCCTCGAACGCGCGCCCGCGTCGATCGCGTCGTCCACCGCGCGCGCGACGCCCTCGCACGGACGCCCGTGGTCGAAGTCGTCGCCATCGCTCGTCGTGAAATGCCGACGCACTCATGAGCGCCTACTTCGACGACGACGCCGTCCCAGAGCGCGCGCGCGTCGTCATCGCGACGCCGCGCGCTCGAGCACGCGTCGAGGCGCTCGGCGAGACCGACGCCGCGCGCGTGCGGACGGGACGCGGCGATGATGGATCGATGATGTGTGATTTCCCAGTGAGTCGCCGCGCGCTCTGGGACGCCGACGCCGCGAACGACGGCCGCGCGATCGCGCGCGTGGGGGCGTCGATGGCGGCGCCGAGAATTATGATGGACGCGCGCGCGATGGCGGATGTGCGGGCGCGCGCGGGGGGGAACACGAAGGCGTTCGCGCTCGCGGCGACGGATGCGAAGAAACGCGGCGACGCGGCGGCGCGGGTGATGGACGACGACGACGACGACGACGACGACGGGCGAACGTGTGTGATTCCAGTCGTCGTCGTCGCGAGTGACGGCGATGGGGACGTCGAGCGTGATTTGGCCGCGGCGCGACGGGCGGCGTGGATGGATGACGACGACGCGTCCATCGCGGCGTTCGAACGCGCGCTCGCGAGCGATGCGCCGTTGTGTCCGTTGGCGCTCACCCCAACGCGCGCGGCGGTGGTGCTCGGGGACGATGATGCGGTGCGCGTGGCGTTCGCGGTGCGCGCGCCGTGGTGCGAATTTGAACTTGGACCGATTCATCCGCCGCGCGCGAGAGACAACGAGACGCTCGTCGAGGCGACGCGCGCGGCGGCGACGGCGGGACGGGATCGATGCGTCACCACGGGATTCATCACGCTGGATAGAACGCGACGGATGGTGTTTTTGGGCGAAGACGCGCGCGGGACGGAGGAAGAACCGCTCACGGGGGTGTGGATTCAAGGCGCGGAGCGCGTCGAGGACGCCGCGACGTGGGCGGCATGCGTTCGGTTCGCGTGTTCAGACGTCTTGGTCACGCTGACGCAGCGTGGGAAGTTTTTGTGCGCGTGCGTACTCGCCGGAACGAGCGAGGTGGCGGTGTACGAAGTCACCGCGACGCGCTCGTGCTCGGATTTTGTGCCGTACGGCGCGGATATCGTCGCGCGCGCGGACGCGCCGATCGACGCGCAAACGGCGCCCGTGGACGAGATCATCGCGCCGACGTACTTTCACGTCACGCCCGAGGCGTACGGTGCGGAACATTACGATTTCGTCGAGCCGGTCGATGCCGACGGCTCCGTCGGTGACGTGGAAGAGATGGAGGAACACTTTAGCTACGATTTGGATGACGACGAGTTTGAGGAGGAACGCGAGGAGCGCGAGGTCCAGTTGCAGTTGCTCCAGCGCGAGATCGAGTGCCTTCGCGAGGCCATCGCATCGGCGTCATTCATCGATGACGACGAAGACGAAGACGAGGACGAGGACGAGGATGAAGACGAGGAGTACGAGATGTACAGACGACGCGACGCGGAGAGAGGCGGAGCGTCAGACGCCGAAGAAGATGACGTGAGTGAGGACGTGCGTCGTCTCGCGATCGAGCTCAAGGCGGACGTCAAAAAGTCTCAACTCGGCGCGTCCGTGGACGAGATCCCATTCGATCCCAAGACTGCGGGCTACGTGCGTTTGCCCACGGATGAGCGAGAGGCGGACTCCGTCGCGGAAGCGCTTCGCGTCGTGGACGACGACATCCGAGAACTCATGCTTCTCAAGCAGCCGAGTGCGCTCGTGAGTGATTCTGACAGTGAACTTCGCGCGCGGTTTCGCGCGGAATACGGCGACGACGGGGACGTCGTCGCCCACGCTCGCGAGGAACACCACTTCCCGCGAATCGCTTTCGATCCGTCCCGCTCGTGCGCCTCCGACGACGAAGCCGCCGCCGATGACGCCGACGCCATCATCAAGCGATACGTCGACGCGTACGGTGAAGAGAATCTTCTCAAATACCTGTAATCCACGAACGGGCGTTCCCGTCGACGTCGTCTTGACTCGTCCGTCGCTCGTCGCCGCACATCGCGCCTCGCATGCGCGCGACGCGCGCCTCACCCGCGCTCGCTCGCCCGCACTTTCGCGCGAAACCGTCCGTTCGAACGCGCGAACGACGCGTCGTGATAACGCGCGCCGAACAGATCGACCGCGTCGTCTTGGCGTGCACGTCCAAGGAGTGTAAGAGGAACGGCGCGCTGAAAACTTTAAAGCTCTTGGAGGAAGCGTGCGAGAGAACGCCGGGCGTGCGGTGCGGGACGACGCGGTGTCAGAGCGAGTGCGCGAGCGGGCCTAACGTGAAACTTTTGCCGGAGGGCGCGGTTTTGAACGACGTGAAGACGGTGGAGGCGGTGGAGGCGGCGCTCGAGCGACTCGCGTCGTACGAGTCGGCGTAATAATGTCGCGCGCGACGACGCTGTCGACGACGATCGAGAGATTGCTGAGAGAGCGAGGAAAACGAGAGGTCAAGGCGTGGTTGGAGAATTATATGCGGCGAACGACGCCGTTTTATGGGTGTAAGATGCCGACAACGCGAGCGTGCGTGAAGGAGGCGGTCGCCGCGGCGAGCGAGACGCGGAAGAGACGACGAGACGACGTGAGCACGGTTTCCTACGTCGAAGACGCGGTGGCGCTCTTACAACACACGCACGGTGACGCCAAGCAAGCGGGGGCGATTCTTTTATGCGAGCACGAACCCGTGGACTCGTTGGCGACGCCGGAGACGCTGCGTCGACTCGAGGACGAAGTGTTGAGAGGGAGCCACGTGAACGATTGGGCCGTCGCGGACTCGCTCGCGATCAAGGTGTTCAAGAAGATGTGGAAAAACAACATCTCCCTCGCGCCGTTAATATTGAACTGGTCAAAAGACGAGAGCGCGACACTTTGGCAACGTCGATGCGGGATCGTCGCGTTTGTTTCGTATTTCGACAAGGAACGCGACCGCGACGGACGCTGGACGCTGGACGATTCTTTCTGGGAGGCGATCATCGACGCTTGCGAGCGTAATCTTTTACTCTCTCCCGAGGAGAGATTCACGCAGACGGGCTCGGCATGGGTGACGCGTTACGCGTTGGCGTCGGACGATTCGGCTGTTCGCGACTACGCGCGCGACATGGTGCTCCGAAACGGCACCCTCTGGACGACGGAGGCGAAGAAATCGCTCGTCGAACGATTATTGGCGAGAAAAAGTTCGCTGGCGAAAGAAATTTTGCAATTGTGATTATACACTGCGCACGGCGCTAAAGAGACGACTCGCCTCGACGCTCACTCGCTCGTGAGAAACATACCTTTGATACCGTCCAAGTCGCTCACGAACCCCAACGCGCGATAAAACGGAACCACGTCTTCATCGGCGAACAAAGTAACGTTCGCCACGTCCCGACTGAGCAACGCTCGAATCATCTGTTGCACCAAAGCCTTCCCGTACCCCCTCCCTTGATACTCCGGGTCCACGATGATGTCCCACAGCGTCGCGTTGAACACGTGATCGCTCGTCGCCCTGGCGCACGCGATGAGCTTACCCCTCGACGTCTCCTGCACCTTTCCCGACTGTGCGTCCACGTCGCACTCGTACAGCGTCGCCACCATGAATGAGTTCTCCAGCGCCCGTCGTATCTTCGCGCGCGGGCGCTCGGGCCACCCCACCGCCTCGCTCAGCCGTTCCACCGCTCCCACGTCCACCGCCGCTGTGGTCGAGAACACCACCGCGCGCGTCACCCCTCCGTTCTCCGCCGTGCGCGTCTCCAGCACCTTATCCGCCTCGCGCGACCCGAACGTCGCGCGCTCTTCGTCGTCTCGCGTCTCTCGCGCCACCGCCTCGAGCACACATCCGCGTCGACGTCCGCGCCGCGTCGACGACACCGCGCGCGCGAGCGCCCGGGACGACGGCCGGGACGACGCGCGCGCGGACATGCGCGCGCGCGTCGAACGGCGATCCCGCGGCGCGCGCGCGTGTGCGGTGTCGCGTCGATGAGGTTCGATCGACACACGCGCGCGCCATGCACGGACGACGACGGCTGGACGACGACGCGCGCGAGAGACGACGAAAAAATAATCTCGACCGCGCGCGCGCGTTTTGCGCGCTCCAGGTGCGTCGTGGACGACGCGATGGGGACGAGTTGGAACGATCGCCGCGAGAGACGACCGACTGACGACGCGACGCGATGATGGACAGGCGAACGCGGTGCGCGCGCGCGCGAACGATGCGACGACGATGGCGATGACGGAGAAACTGGTGACGACGTGCCCGGAGGTCACGACGGGGTGGAATCGAAGGAAGGAGGCGGTGGAGCTCGGCGCGGAGACGGCGGAGGCGGCGCGCGATTGGTGGAGCGAAGAACTCAGGGTGAGCGAGATCGCGCTCAGGAACGCGCCGAAGAGTTATCCGAGCTGGTATCATAGGAAATGGACGGTGTCGAGGATGATTCGAACGATGGGAAGGGAGTCGGAGACGGTGCGGATGACGCTCGAGCGCGAACGCGCGCTGTGCTCGCGACTGCTCGACGCCGACGATAGAAACTTTCACTGCTGGGCGTATCGACGGTTCATCGTCCAATCGCTCGGGGTGACGACGGAGGAGGAATTGGAATACACGTTGAAGAAGATCGAGGACAATTTTAGCAATTACAGCGCGTGGCATCAGCGAAGCGCGATTTTGGATGCCCGCGGCGACGTCGATTCGGCGACGCTCAAGGGGGAATTCGAGCTCGCATCGAACGCGTTCTACACCGAACCCGAGGACCAGAGTGCGTGGATGTATCATAGGTGGCTCATAGCGCGCGCGCGTGCGCTGAAGATCCCGGACGAGCGCGATGCGGCGATCGCGAGCGCGCTCGAGATCTGTCGAGAGGTGGCCGAGCTTGAACCCGGGTGTAAGTGGCCGCTTCTCGCGCGCGCCAGCCTCGAGGACGAGAAATCGCGCCGAGACGTGCTCGACCGTTTGTCTTCGATCGATCCGGCTCGTGTTGGGTACTACCGCGACGTCGCGTAGAGGCAATAGGGTTGCCGCGCGCGAGTCAACTGTATGTAATCTAGGCTTAGGCACATTTTGATGAAAGTGATGAAATGAAACACAGGCTCCCATTACATTGCGTATACGGGAAACGGCATTCGCAAGCGTCGACAACGGAATTAATCCATCGACGCGTTCTAAGATCCTCTACAGTACGTCACCCAATTGACTACTCGGCTGCATACAACGTGACGCCTCTTGCGTCACTCACACCTCGCAGATAAGCCGCGTCGGGCCGCTTACTTGGCGATGTTACCATACCACAAGCCAGTGATCTTGACATCCTTCGGCACCTTGGCGCCAAGATCAGTGTCGGACGGCTGAATGGACTCGAAAACGCCCGCAATTTCACCGGTAGCCGGGTCGTACTTGGCGATGTTGAAGACGGCGGAGCCCTTGAGCGCGGCGGCGCTCTTGTTGTTCTCCTTTTGGAGCTCTTCGGAGTCAGCGCGCGCCGGGAGGGCAACAGCGTTGTCATAACCGGTGGAACCACCACGGCCCTTCGGGTCGAGGAAGGAAGAGCCACGGTAGGACGGGACGACGAAGTCACCGCCGAACTGGGACGTGTTGCCCTTGCCCGTGAACTCCTTCAACGTGAAGAGGAACGGCACGCGCTCACCACCCGGCAATTGAACGGTGACCGGGGCGTAGTCGAGGCCATCGTTCTCCTTGATTTGGACGGAGCCGTCGGAGCCAACCTTGAAGTCACCAGTCATGCCGTCGAGGGTGTAGGTGAGGCGCGTCATGAGGCGCGTCTTTTGGAATTCAGACTCGCCGGCCTTGAACTGAGACTCTTCCTTCACGGTGAATGAGGTCGGTTCCATGCAGAATCGCTCGAGCTTGTAATCGCCAGCCTTGATGTCCTTACCGGAGACACCACCTTCGACGACCGGGCACGTGTTCGCGAGACCGGTACCCTTGACTTGCAAGTAGGTGAGGCCTTGGAGCTCGTCATACGTCACCGCGGAGGCGGACTGTTTGCACATAGGACAAAAATTCAAAAGTCAGTCTCGACGTGGACGTGGATCGTGCACGCGAGAGGCGCGAGGCGCGTCGTGTTGGTTCGAGCGCGACGACGACGCGGTGCCGACGGCGACGACGACCGCGGTGCGCGACCGTGGACGTATTTCTTTACGAAAAAGACATCGTCAAAGTCTCCCGTCACCGCTCGCGTCGTCACCACGGTCACATTCACGTCGCGCTCGAACAACCGTATCAGCGTATCTCACGATGGGCTCGGGACGCAGATGCGTCGACGTACCTGGGCGAGGACGGCGCCGGCGACGCCGAGGGAGACGGTCGCCTTGGAAACCTTTTCGGCGAATTCGTTGAGCGACGCCTTGGGGGCTTGCGCCTTGGCAGATCTGCGAACGCGCGCGGAAACGGACGCACATCGGTCAGCTCGGGGTTCGAGAAGATCTCGCGATCGCCCCATCGCGCGTCTCAAAGATCCACCTTTCACGCCCTCGATCCCCTCGCGCGCGTCCAGCGCCGCGCGCGATCGATCGAGACATTTTCCCTCGCCGTCCCGCTCCCAGATATCACGCGCGATCGCGATCGACGACGCGGCGCTCACGCCCCCGTCGCGCGATCGTCCACCGCGATACGCTCGATCGCCCGCGTCGGTCGCGTCGTCGACGACACGCACCGCTTGGCCGACTTGGCCCGGACCGCGAACGCGGTGTTCCCGAAAACGGCGGAGCGCGCGATGGACGCCATGTCGATCTCCGTGCGAGCGACGCGCGAGGAAGTGTCGCCGTCGTCCTCGGCCTCGCGCGCGGTGTCGCCGGATAACACGACGCGGGGTCGGGTGATATTTATCACGTCATCTCTCGTACTGTGACCTCGTGCACGACCATCGACGCGCGCGCGCACGCGATCGCGACGATCGCGTCGGATGATCGCTCGGATGCGCATCTGCGAGTCGTGACTCGTGGACGACCCCCTCGCGTGGCGCACGACGGTCGGTCGCCGCGACGGCGTCGACATCGGCGGCGCGCGCGAGGACGGCGCGCGACCGCACGGGCGGACGCGCGGACGCGAGCGCGGCGTCGGTGACGCCCGGGACGACGATGTTGCGACGCACCGCGCGTTTGCGCCGGGAGTTCGTGTACAGGAAATCGCTCGAGGGGAAGGAGCGGGAGCTGTATGAAAAGAAGCGAACGATTCGACAGTGCCTCGAGGATGGGAAACCGATCCCGACCGAACTGCGACGGGACGAGGCGCGGTTGCGAGAGGAGGTGCACGCGGAGGATGTGCACACGGCGCGATACGGTGCGAGAGGGGTGGTTGACGATGAGTACGCGAAGGCGGCGGAGAGCGAGCCGAGAGTGTTGCTCACGACGTCGAGAGATCCCTCGTCGAGGTTACAGCAGTTTGCGAAAGAGTTGAAGCTGTTGTTTCCAACGAGTCAGCGCATCAATCGCGGGTCGCAAATTTTACCGGATCTCGTCGATTTGTGCAGAAACGGTGGGTTCACGGATTTAGTCATGGTGCACGAGCACCGAGGCGAGCCGGACGGGCTCGTGATCTCGCACTTACCGTTCGGACCGACGTGTTACTTTGGAATCTCGAACACGGTGATGCGACACGACATTAAGGATCAGGATCTCGGCCACGTCAGCGAGGTGTTTCCGCATCTGATTCTCGAAAATTTCACCACGCCGCTCGGGCAGCGCACGGCGACGGTGCTGAAGCATCTCTTCCCGGAGCCCAAGGCGAAGTCCAAGCGCGTGGTGACGTTTGCGAACGATGCGGATTACATATCTTTGCGTCATCACACGTATGAGATGCCCAAGGGGGCGAAATCGGTCGCGCTCACGGAAATCGGTCCGCGGTTTGAGATGCGACTGTACCAAATCAAACTGGGGACGGCGGAGCAGGACGACTGCGACATCGAGTGGAGTCTGCGTCCGTTCATGCGGTCGGGTAAGAAGGCTAGGCTTTAGACGTCGCGCGAACGCGCGCTGTGTACGATACCGTTTTAGTATATGAACCGTAGAAGAAGCAACACATTAGCAACTCAACTCAACGATACAAAAGCCTACGCGCGCGACGGTTACGCCGACCCCTCATTCGTGTAAGCCTCGGACAATCCGTCCACGCTCCCTCCGCTTCGATCCTCCTCGGGTATGTGTGAGACATCGTTGAACACCGACAATCCCACGCACTCTCCGTCCTCGCCGACGTCAAAGTATAAAGAGTGCACGCACGCGTTTTCCGAACAAAACAGCGCGCCCTGTTTCCCCGTCGTCCTCGGCGACGCGAACAGCGTCTTGAGCAATATATCGATGAACATACCGTGCGAGACGATGATAATATCCGACGCATCGCGCTCGCCTCGACCCATCGCTCGCGCCCGTTCCCAAAGCCACTCCGCGAAGCGCGCGCCTCTTCGCTGCGCCTCCTCCACCGTCTCGCACCCTCGCCTCGGATCCCACCACCCCTCTCGCATCGTCTCCGGCGCATCGATGTGCGACCCGAACTCTCGCGCGATCTCATCCGTGGTCATCCCTCGCCGTCCCATCGCTCCGTCCGCGCCGTCGCCTCGCGCCCCTTCGAAGCATCCGCCGTGTTCGTGCGCGCGCGCGTCCACGGTCCCGCGCGTCCCGAGCCCCGCGCACACCCCGAGCGCGGTGAGCATCGCTCGACGCATCGGTGACGTCACGACGCGCACCCGCGCGTGGGCCTCGCGTTCACGCGCGAATCGCGCTCGGAGCCATTCCACCTGCCTCGACCCCTTCGGCGTTAACCCCGGATCGGCGACGCGGTCGGGATGATCGATCCCGGGCGCGCGCAACGCGTTGTTCTCGCTCTGCGCGTGCCGCACCAGGACCACGCGCATCGACGGTCGCGCTTAGGTTGAGATGGAGATTCGATGACGATGCGATTCGGTGTGACGCCAACGGCGATGCCGTCGATAGTGATCGACGCGCGCGTGACGCGCGGGCGGCGACCATGGGGTGCGCGTCCACGAAGGCGATCGATGCCGAGCCCGGGAACGGGCGTGATGCGCGCGCGCGGGCGAGGGAGGGAGACGAGGCGACGATGACGGATGCGGCGATGATTCATGATTCGAACGACGGCGAGGACGGTGGACGCGTCGGTGACGAAGGATGGGGCGACGAGCGCGCGCGCGTGGGAGATGAGGCGATGCGGTCGATGGAAGGGCGAGCGGGCGCGTCGCGGGAGGTGAAGGAGAGGTGGATGCGGTCGCCGCGGTCTCGCGGGACGGGGAAGAGTCTGCGCGGCGCGGCGGACGGCGGACGAGGGACGCCCGTGGTGAGCGGTGGGAGGAGCATGATCGAACTCAGGAGTTTTAACGATCGTGATCGCGACGTGGGGACGTTGGATGACGCCGTGGTGCGAACGCGGGGGCGCCAGGATAGGGGGTTGCCGCCGACGCCGACGGCGAACGGACGCCTCGAGCGGGCGTCGCGTTCGAGCTTGGAGAACGATGCGGGGGGGAAGATGTCGGTGATGTCGTGGTTAAAAGACGTGGGGAGGGGGGGGAGGGGGGCGAACTGGCAGACGCCGACGACGGCGTCGACGATGTTGGCGCACGCGAGGCAGCGGGCGCAGCACAAGAGGACGCTCAGCCTGTCTATTAACTCGACGGACGACTTGTCGGCGTTCGCCGATCGCGCACCGCAGCGTGTGAGCTCCGGTGGGATTCCCGTGGACGTCATACTCGAGGATGCCCGCGCGTACACGGCGGATGATTTCCTTTCTGACATCGAGAATGTCGTCACAGGCATGCGAGAGCGCCAAGACATCGTGAGACGACTCACCGTTGAGACGATTGACGCGTGCAAAACCTTGGTCGAACTCGAGGCTCCCGTGGAAGCGATGCTTCGGTTGAAGGAAGTGACGATGGAAACGGTCGAGGACGAATTGGATGAGAATTCGACCATTCTCTCCGACGGAAGCTCGTCGGCGGTGCATCTCGCAGCTTCGCTTGCCGACGAAGATGGGTTCGAGATATCTAGCGCGATTCTCACTTCACCGTCGAGATCGATTACGCTGAGATCGCCGTCGGGATCGAGTAGAAGAGTGGGAGAGATATCGCTCGAAGACGTCGAGGCAGAGTTGCAAGACGTGAGACGAATCGCGTTCGAAAGCGCGCCGCCCGAGCGCGCGTTGAGTCTTTTTTAGCTGTACAGTATACATAGGAGCGTTGTAAGTGGCATGTGATTCACTCTATCACAAAAGTTTTCTAGCACATTTCTAGAGGTGAGAAACGCGGCCGGATTAATCGAAGAGGTCGAAGTCCATTTCTTCCTCCTCTTCTTCCTCGACGGCGGCGGCGGCAGCCTTGGCGCCGCTGTCGCCGCCAGCGGCGGCACCGCCGGCCGGAGCGGCGGCGGCGAACGCACCCGGGTTCGCGAGGTAGTCCTTGACCTTTTGAGCCAACTCGAACGTGTACTCGGTACCGATGGAAACGGCGAGCACGTTCTTGTACGCGTTGACGATGGAGTGCGGCACAGACGCGAGCGTCGGGTAGCCGGAGGCCAACGAGAGGGAAGCAATCTGGGAGACGCCAGACATGAACTTCTTCTCGAGAGTCTCGTTCGTGATGTCCAAAACGGCGGACGGGTACATGGCACCCTTGTCGTAGACTTCAACAACTTCCAAACCGTACTCGAACGGCGTGAACTTCATCTTGGAGAGGAGAGCCGCCGCGGACGAAGACACGCGGTCGCCGACCTTGAGCACGACAATGTCGTTAAGAATTTCGATGGAACCCTTGTTAATCTTCGTCGCGATGTTAAGCGTTTGGAAGAAAGACGTTTGGGACGGCTCCATGCCCGTCGGACCAGCCGGGACGACGACTTCGACCGGCGCGATGGCGCCGACGCGCGCCGGCGCGGGGACGACGAACTGCTTCACCTTCTTACGGACTTCCAAGAGGTCACCCTTGGTGAAGATGATACCGACGTTGCCGACGAGCTTTTCCGCGAGGATGTTCCACGAGTCGTTGCCCGATTTCTTTGCGTAGTTACTGATGCACTTGCGCATGAGGGTGTTCTTACCCATGAGCACGACAGAGTCACCGCGAATGGACTGCGCGATTTCGAAAGAGCGCGTCGGGGTCAGTACACGGTTTTTCAAACGTCATTTTCATTCGATCGAACGCAGTCGAGGACGAATCGCGACATCGTAAGCGTCGAGATCTCTGTACGTTGCGGTTAGGGCTTTAAACCCATCGCTTCGCATCATCTGCAACACGTACCGCGCGGATGTCCATGAATTGCCTGGAGCCGACGTTATCGGCACCGACCAAGAGGGCGGTGTCGTAGTTGTCGAGCAAGAAGTTGACCTTCTCGGCGTACGTTTGCTTCTTAGCGTTCACCATCTTTGATTGACGATGGGTGTAGATTGGTTGCTTAGCGGCGGGACCAGGTACTGCTTCGATTGAGCGGTAAGGAGAGCGCGAGCGTTTTGCGCTTCTTTAACCCGTGCGCCGCGAATGGACGATAAAGTGTGTGACCTTACCGAGACGGCGGTTCGCGACGTCGAGAGAACGAGCGTCGCAAAGAGACGGACGCGTGCACCGGGGCGGTGTCCACGGGTTTTCTTGATGTACATACGTTTTTGTTGCTTCTACCGGTAAATCGATTACAATATGTGTTCCGTGCGTCTCGAGTGACTCAGACTCAATTCACCATGGCGGCCTCGTTGAAGACGAACTCGGCTTGGTTATCAATCATGAACTGCGTCGATCGCTTGACGTCCAAGAACATCCCGTACACCTTGGAGACATCATCTATGTCCACTTTGGCGGATTTCCTCTTACTCGCGCGAAGAGAAGCGGCGGAGATGAGTTGGATCGCGTATCGCAGACTCGTCTCGCACGCAATTTTGCACAACAAGTCCTTGGCGTCGTCGCTCATATCCACGTCCTCCTCCTCGCATCGAATCTCTAAGATCGCTTTGGATTCACGTTCATCGTACGGCTGGGTGTGGATGATCAACAGCCGCTCGAGAAGATCGACGGGGATGCCGTGCGGCGAGCGATAGTCAGTGCCTCGAATCTTTGTGATGCCACGGTTGGTGGCGACGACTAAAATCGGCGCCAATTCGTTCTCAAGCGCGCGGTTGAGAAAGGAAAAGCACTCAATGTCCAGCATGTGTACCTCGTCGATGAAGAGAACGCCCGGAATGATCTCAGCCTTGCCCTCTTCTTTCCACTCGGACACCCTGTTGTCGATTTGTTCGCGAACCTCCGCGCGGATCTCCCCGGTGTCCCCGGCGAACAGAGCGAGGTAACCCTGCGCGCGGGAGTTGATAACATCGATTTCGTGCAACGAAACCGTGTGCACCACCTCCTGACGCTTCTGAAGTTCGCCCTCGGGACACGCGACAAACTTGGTCGACGCGCCCATGGCGTCGTAGTCTCGCGACTTGGAGAACGAGCGCCCAAGCTTGGTGACGCGTCCGCTCGCTTTATCGATGCTGATAACGTCCCCGGCGTTCACCTTGGCCTTACTGATAGCCTCGATCATCTTCGTTCCGAGATCGTACACCGTCTCCATGTCGGTCGTCTTCATCGTCAGCTTTCCCGTCTTCGCGTGCGCCTTCGCCATGGCCCCGACCGGGCGATCGATCTCGATCTCCACCACCTCACCCTCGATTATTTCCGTCTCCTCCTTAATTCTCACCCCGATCGCCTGGCGAAACGCCTGCGTCAACGCTTCCGTCTTTGACATTTCCATGGAGTAAATTTCGCTCGCCGCCATGCTCGCGAACGGCGTCTCGTCCCCCAGCGTCTTCGCCATCCCTCTCGCGATCGCCGTCTTCCCCGTTCCCGGCGCGCCCGCGATCAGGACCCCTCGACCCGCGATCGTGCCGTCTTTGATCATGTTCGCGATCACCCCCGCCGCTTTTCTCGCTCGAAGTTGACCGACCAATCCTTGGGACGATCGTCTCGCCTCCAAGCCGTCGTCCAGGCCTAAACCTCGCACGTGCGAGTGCGCGCCGAGACGCTCGACCCTGGTCAGGGTCGAGCTCGAGCGATGAGGGACGCCGATGTCCGTCATGGGACGTGCGCGACGCGACGGAGTCACGGGACGTGTGACCACGATGCCGTGGCCGCGAACGGCGGCGGGGGGTACGGACGAATGATGACTCGTGAAAAGCGTGCGAGGCGCTCGGCGCGGCGTTGACCCGCGCGGCGCGCGGCGAACACGGCCGAGGGAATCATCGTGGGACAGACGCGTGCGAGGGAACGATACATCTATCTACGCTTCGAACGCACGCTCGAACGCGGCGCCGTGGACGACGGCGTCGAGCGCTCAGTCGGTTTCATCGCGCGCGCGTCCGCGGAGTCGTCGCTCGAGTCGGCGTCGTCCTCGGCGGCGGTGGGGGCGTCGTCCGAATCGTCTTCGGTGTCGAGATTGACGTCGTCGTCGTCGTCGTCGTCGTCGTCGTCGTCGTCCATTTTAGATGGGTCCAAAGCCCTGGCGTTGTCCGCATCGATCATTTCTTCGTAATCGTCGACGGAGGCGAACACGCCGCCCGAGTCAAAACCTTCGACGCCTATCTCCTCGTCCACGTCGGCTGATGATTTTCTCACGGCGCTCTTGATCGCCTTGATCGCAGCTACTTCCTTCTCACGTTCCTTCGCCGCGGCTTCCTTGACGAGATACCCTGGAGGTTTGCCGTAAGCCTTCGCGAGCGCGTCCAAGCCGTACGTGTCATCCTCGATGCCTTCCTCTTGGCGTTCGGATTTGTAGAATTCCTCCTCCGCCTCCTCGTCCGTGTCCTCGTTGAAATCTCCCTTTCGAACCTTCTTGAGGGGCACGGCGAGGGCATCTTCGTCGTCTGAATCCGAAGCGTCGTCGAGTTTGATTTCTTCCAGCTCAAAATCCTCGGCGGCGTCCTCGCCTTCTGATTCGCTGTCGTCGTACTTTTTCTTCGGCATCTCTCCATCGGGATCGGAGTCCGACGCGGCTTCGTCATCTTCTTCACTTGTTGACTTTTTATCCGATTTCTTCGTCGCCGCCGCCGCTTTCTCGGACTTGTTGGCGAAGTATCGATGGAAGAAGATGTCCGAGGGATCGACTTCGGATTCCATGAGCGACGCGAACTCCGCCGTGCCGGGCATGTACGTCGTGTCCGCACCAGATTCCACCGCGCGCATGACAGCAGATCCACCCCCCTTGGTCTTCTTCTTTGGCTTCTTCTGCAACCATTTGTCTAGGAACACGGTGAGCGTCATGTCAGAGAGAGGGTCGCCGTCGTATTCAATCGGTTTTCCCTCGAGCAACGTTCTCGACATCGCCGCCACGGATGGGTGCGCGTTGGCGGCGAGAACGTTGAGTTCCCACCAGCTAGAGAGCTCAGCACGCGCGTAGAGGGGCTCTCGTTTCTCCATATCGTAGCGATCGCTCGAAATTGGGCCGTTTTGCCTGGCGCCGCCGCCGTCCTCAACCTCGTCGTCGGACGATTTATCACTCTCGTTGTCGGCGTCACCGTCGGCGTCACCCTCGAACAGTCCGGTACGGTTATCGTCTTTATGGTCGTCTTTGACATCGCTGAAGTGTTCCAGCGCGTCGTCATCGACCTGACGCGGCTCACGAATCGCGTTCCAGTGTGAAGGCTGTTTGGCCAAGAATTCGCTCACCGCCATGAGAGCGCCGCACGCGAACGTGGCGGGCGCTTGGGAGGCAACTTGAAGCACGCGCTTTACCATGGCCGCTGCACGCTTCGGAACAACGTCTTCTCGAAGACTTTTGAAAATCAATGAGAGCACTTGGGCGTTATTGGACGAACGCGCCAGTCCAGGGTGAAGAAGCAGCGCGTACAGCGCGCGATAGTATCGATCGCTCACGGACGAGCGAGCCGACAACAGCTGGAAAAGAAGCATCATCGCTTGTAGAGCACCGTTGAGATTTGGTGAGTGAGCGATGGTGAACAGAGCGGGTGAGATACGGTCAATGAGCGCATCAACCTTTTCGCTTGCGACGTACGGAAACGCACGGTTGATCCCAGTGAGCAAGGCTGCGACAACTCGAGCGTCAACACCGGCCCCCAACTGCGTGGGTTGGGCCGGCTTGTTATTTTTGCCTCCTCGGCCGCGAGCGCCGCGACCTCCGCGACCACTGCGACCACCACGACCGCCGCGACCACCGCGACCGCCCCGACCACCATCCCGATGACGTTTCTTGTCCTTCTTTGCCTCCGTTTTCTCCTCCTCCTCCTCCGCAAGATCCTTCTTCAGCGACAACTTGTAGAGATACTGGAATAACCCGAAATAAGCCTCGACGAGCTGCTCCGCGAGAGCGGGTCCGGTGCCCTTGCGAGAGAGCGGGATTTGATTCAGCATCACCGCGGCGTAGTACTGCGCCTTGAGTCCAACGCCTCTTCTAAACGTGAACGCCTCCACCTCGCGCGCGATGATGCTCTTCATCGCCGGGTGCACTTTGATTAGTTCTAGTAACAAGTATGACGCGCTCGAGGCGATCTTTCGAGAGGGATCGCCAAGCTTGTTGACGAGAATATTCAACAACTGACGCTCGCCCTCGGGCTTTGCCTTGAGCAGCGCGTACGCACTCTTGAGAGACTTTTCCTTGAGGATGGGCAGAGGATCCCTCGATAGCTCGTCCAATGCACCAATGAATCGCAAGTACATGCGCTTGATGGAGTCTTCGACATACCAGTACATCAATCGCTTGCGTTCGTGAGGAGCGCTAGCGGCCGCGGCGAGCGGTTGCTCGCTGAAATACTTCAACTTTCGATCCGGAAGCAAGCTCTCTCTGAACAACGCTTCGAGAGCACCAATGGACTGCACCGCCCCGCGTTTTCCCCCACTCGCGCGAGCGCGCTCGACGATACCCAACAAGTGCTCTAGAGCTTTCAAGTTCGCCGCCGGATCCTCGGTGACGCTCAGCACGTTTGCGGCTACCTTGTCGCTCGCCGTACCATTCGTGCGCACCATCTCCAACCACTTGGCGTTCGCGTCGCTCTGTCTCTGCATTCGTTTCGAGAACGTATTCACGCGCTCCTCCAACGCGCTCTTCGCCACGGTTTCCTTCGTCTCGAGATCTTGACGCGTGACCTCCTTCGCCGTCGACGCCCGTCTCGCCTCCGCCCCGATTTCCTCGCTCAGCGCTCTCGACACCTCGTACCAAGCACCGCCTCGCGCGCTCGCCAGCGCATCATTCGCCCCGTTTGCCGACTTATCGTCCGTCTTACCCGGCATCGGTCCCGCCCCTGGATTCCACGGTCGCTTCTTCGTTCCCGTCGCCGCGGCGTCTTCGCCTCGCGCGCCGCCGGCTCGAGACTTTCCTCTTCCGTCGTCTCGATTCTCATCCGCGGCGTCATCCGCGGCGTCGTCAGAACCTTTATTTCGCGCGCGCGATCGCCGTTCCCGCGCGCCGTCGCCGTGGCGACGATCGCGATGCGGTGTCGTGACATTGCTCGCGCTCGGGCTCGCCGCCGCCGCCGCTGCCTCAACCTTTTTCTTCGCGTGCGATGCTCGGAAATCTCTGTCGTCGAAACCTCTGGCGGTGCCCTTCGACGCGGTGGCGTCGACGAAACCGAGCGTGGACGCGAACGCCTTGACGTCGGCGTCGAGCTCGACGTCGACGTCTTGACGACCCATCGAGTCGAGGGGCGAGCCAGAGTGTGAGGCGCGAGGACGACGAACGCGGAGAGAGAAACGATCGGTCGTCGAACGAAGAAGAAATCCTTGAGTGCGGAGGTGAATTATGAAAGAAAAGGTTCTAGCGAGCTGGCGACGGAGTCGCGGCTAAAAGTATACGAGTGGTGGATTAATACACGCGCGCCTTTGGCGGAATGACTTCCATCTCGTCGTCGAGCGTGTAGTGGTGGTTGGGTCGGTAGTCGATCTTCACCTTGCCGTTTTCGACGTAAGCGAGGGTGTGCTTCATCCACGTATCGTCGAGACGGTCAGGAAAATCTTCGCGAGCGTGCGCGCCTCGACTCTCCTTGCGCTGCTCGGCGGAGTGCATCGTCGTCTGCGCGTTTGGCATGAGGTTGTGCAACTCGAGCGCCTCGACGAGATCGGTGTTCCAAACAAGCGATCGATCGGTGAGCTTGAGGTTGTCCAACTGCGCGGCGACGTCATCGATGCGCTTGCACCCGTTCGCGAGGCTTTCCTGAGTCCTAAACACGGCGGCATCATCTTGCATCACCTTTTGCATGGTTCTGCGCAGCATCGCCGTCGGCGCCGAGCCCTTGGAGTTGCGAATTTTGTCCAAACGTTCGACCGCGTTCGACCCAGCGTCGGCGGCAATCTGGCGGTGCGGCGTTCCCGGCTTGAGTTTCTCGGAGACCGTGTTCGCGCACGCGCGACCGAAGACGACGATGTCGAGTAACGAGTTGGCGCCGAGGCGGTTGGCGCCGTGCACGCTCGCGCACGCAGCTTCGCCGGCAGCCATGAGACCGGGGACGATGGCGTCCATGTCACCATTCTTCGGCGCGACGACCTCGCCCTTGTAATTCGTCGGAATACCACCCATGTTGTAGTGCACCGTCGGAATCACCGGGATCGGCTCCTTGGTGACGTCGACACCGGCGAAAATCGCCGCCGTCTCGGAGATGCCCGGCAAACGTTCAGCCAGAAGCTCCGGAGGCAGGTGGTTCAAGTGCAAGTAGATGTGATCTTTCTCCTTACCCACGCCTCGTCCCTCACGAATCTCCATCGTCATTGCGCGAGACACGACGTCTCGACTCGCGAGATCCTTGGCGCTCGGAGCATAACGCTCCATGAAGCGTTCTCCCTCAGAGTTACGCAGGATGCCGCCCTCACCGCGCGAACCCTCGGTGATGAGACAGCCGGCGCCGTAAATGCCAGTTGGGTGGAACTGCACGAACTCTTGGTCCTGCAGGGGTAGACCGGCACGAGCGACCATGGCGTTACCATCTCCCGTGCACGTGTGCGCCGACGTCGCGCTAAAGTACGCTCGACCGTACCCGCCCGTGGCTAAAATTGTCTGATGCGAGCGGAATCTGTGTAACGTTCCGTCCTCCAGGCAAAGCGCCATGACACCCACGCACTCACCCTTGTCCATGATGAGATCCAACGCGAAGTATTCCACGAAGAATTGCACGTCGTGCTTCAACGCGGCGCCGTACAGCGTGTGCAACATGGCGTGCCCGGTGCGGTCCGCCGCCGCCGCGCATCGATACGCCTGCCCACCCTTGCCGAAATCGAGCGATTGCCCACCAAACGCGCGCTGATAAATCCTCCCGTCGTCCGTTCTCGAGAAGGGCATCCCGTACTTTTCGAGCTCGATCACAGCCTTCGGCGCCTCTCGACACATGTACTGAATCGCGTCTTGATCGCCGAGCCAATCCGCTCCCTTCACCGTGTCGTAGGCGTGCCATCTCCAATCGTCCTCCGTCATGTTCCCGAGCGCGGCGTTGATCCCACCCTGCGCCGCCACCGTGTGCGATCGCGTCGGAAACAACTTCGTGACGCACGCCGTCTTGAACCCGTGCTCACCCAGACCGATCGCCGCCCGCAAACCGGCGCCGCCCGCGCCGACGACGAGGGCGTCGTACTCGTGATCGATGATCTCGTACGCCGACGACGCCGACGTCCCCGAGTACGCGCGCGCGAACCCATCGCGCGATCGTCGCGATCGACCCCCCCCGCGCGCACCGTTCGTCCACGAGCGTCCACCGCGCGCGTCCACCGACGCGCGCGCCGACGCCGATGCCATCGACGACGCCGACGCCATCGACGCCGTGGACACCGCCGCCGTCGACGCCGCCGACGCGCCCGTCGCGAGCGCGGCGACGGGTCCGACGCACCCCCGTCGCAGCGCGCGTCTGGACGTCGAGGCGAACATCGCGCGCGGACGTCGACGCGGTCGACGATCGCGCGACGACCGACGACGACGACGACGATGACGATCGCGTCGCGGTCGACGCGCGCGGTCGATCGAGGTCGGTCGACGCGCGCGTCACGGTCGATCGCGGTCGATCGCGGTCGACGGGGTGATGTATGGACGCACACGTCGCACACCGACGATAAAACACCGTCGATGCGATGCGTGCGCTAAACCCTGGCGCACGCGCGTCGAGCGGCGACGAGACGCGTCAACCAACGGTCGATGGCGATGGATGGGCGATGAGGATGATGACGATGAGGATGATGACGACGACGAGCGACGACGGGAGTGACGCGCGCGACGACGACGACGACGAGGACGACGACGACGGGTGACGACGGCGACGGGCGCGGTAACGGTGTCCCGTCGCGAGCGAACGCGAAAGGGGCGCGGTAACGGTCGAGCGATGATGGGCGCGGGCGGCGGGTGAGACGGACGATGGCGCGCGCGCGATGGTCGGTGCGCGCGAGATGGATGACGACGATCGTCCTCGCGTCGATCGTTCTCGCGTGCGTCTCGATCGCGTCGGTGTGGATGCGGATGCGAAGACGACGACGGGCGAGACGCGCGAGAGCGCGAGACGCCGCGGCGCGGGACGGCGACGCGCGCGGGACGGCGCTGCGAGGACGAGCCTTAGGACGAGAAATCTTACGACGCGGGAGCGATGATGAGTATGAGAATGATCGGGGACGTTTCGTTGAACGGGAGCGTCGAGAGCGCTTGAACGTCGAGAGCGTCGCGCCGCCGACGATTTCGCCGGCGCTCGCGACGAGCGCGGACGACTCGTCGGGAGACGAGGCGCGAAGAGCGAGACGGAAAGCGATGGAGAAACGACACGCAGCGCGTTTACGCAGTGCAGACATCCGTTGACGACACAAAGCGGGAAACTCTCAGAGGTAATCCGAAAGATATCCGCCCTCGACGCAGCGGACCGACTGCGCGTTGTCTCGGAGCTGCTGCTCCACGGCGCCGTCGCAGGGATCGAACGTCCCGCCATTTTCCTCGGTACAGCGCTTGAAGACGTTCTCGAGAACGCCGGAGATGCCTCCTTCGCACGGAATTGGAATTTCGTCCGCCACTGATAGAGCACCAGAAACGAGCGCGCCGACGCAAGTGCTTCCACACAGACCATCGGGATCTTGCACGCAAACCATGAGCGTTTCCATGAGCGCGTCCTCGTCGAATGTCGGGCACTGCCAATTCGCGAGGACGGCGCCGGGCGTGAAAGTCACAAGGCACACGAGAGCGAGGAGCAAAGATCTCATTCTAGAGTTCATCGAGCGTGGGGTAGTGAGACCTGGGAAAGAGCGCGTTTCAACGTTCACACGATGAGTGTTCACACGACGTCGGGGCGACAAAATTGTTGAAGCTCTGTGGTAATTTGATAATTTAACATTCTTTCATTGAAGCCGTCGTTAATTCGCGAGAGAGAGCAACAAGGCGGTTCCGCGTTTGACCCAATGCTCGGATCCCGCATCACCGGCGTCGAGCTCGACCATGGTGATGAAGGAGGGTCTCTCGCGCGTGCCGGTACGCACGGGATACATGTACAGGGGACACTCAAAAACGTTTGCTCGAGCCGATGATTTCCTCTTTCTCTCCGTCGGTTTGAAGTGCAGCACGGGCATCTTCACGATGAGTTCCATCATGTTTGGCTCGCGCAGACACTTTTTCTCGCAGTCCCAGCCGGCACCCTCGAGATAGAGCTCACTGACGAAGACGCCGTCATCGGGCGCCGAGTCGACATTCTCGTCGACGATTGAAAACGTGAATGAGAGCGCGTCTATGGGTATGCAATCCTTCCTAGCGCTGGCCTGCAACACTGATGTGAGAAAGCACGTCGGGTAAGTGAAACCAGCGAGCCAATATGTCTTCGGGTACGTGCCGTGAGCCCACGATGACATTTGTTCGACGCGTCGAACTAAATCGAGCGTCCACGATGAGAGCGGTTTCAATGATGGATACGCCTTGAGATACTTCTTGGGCACCTTGTTCGCGGCTAGGGCGTGGAAAATATCATCCAGGTCATTCGACATAACGATCAATCCTTTGATGCCTCTCTTCAATTCGTTCAAGCTCGAGTGCACTCCGGAGAGAAGCGTGTTGTAGCGCTCAATCTCTTGCAGTAGATTTACGTTGAGCGGACTCATATCATGCTTCTTCTTGTTTGCGATCGACTCGTAATCGAGCGCGACGGGAACGGTTTTAAGCATATCTTCGATTATCTGCAGGACGCGAGACTCGGTTTGGGCCGCAGCGCTCGCCTGAGAGCTCGCGGAGGACGAGCCCGCATCTGCCATATGAAATTTCGTGCACGCGCGCAATATTGCCTCACTCTCGGCAATCATGTAAGAGATGTCCGCGTTCGGATGCTGACCAAACGCCTCGGCTTGATCACTTAGCGGTAACTTGTTGACGAATTCCCGATGGTTTTTGAGCTCATTTGTGCACGACGGAATGCGATAGACCTTCCCCAGGGCGCCGCTAGTCAACGCGAAGTCGTCCTCCATCAGAACGTCCTCACAGAAAAACTGCAGCAGATACGCCTTGATGACGCGCCGATCAATCTCATCCGTGATGCGACCACCGTAGTTAGCTTCGCCTATAAGGTAGCGTAGCGCATCCCACGGCGTTTCTTCATAACCGTCTAGGTACGACTTCAACAAATCATCACTCACGGAGAAATCTGTGTCATTGAAATCGTACGGAATATTCAACCCAAGAGTTCCAAACTTTCGCCGTTCGAGCAGAAGTGCGTGGAAAAACGACAGTGAGAATAACAATCTCCCGTATTTATCTCTTTTTGCACACTGACTGAATGATTCATCCGACACGCACGTGCTGTACAAGCGCGCCAAGTTCGCGCGCAATCCCTTGGGCGGTTCCGTCGTCATCTTCAAGCTGCGTTGAAGAATCGCTAGCGGGAAATCAGGCGTGGGATTCGACGACAACCACAGTCTAAAATTTTCATGCGGTGCATCATCATCGAAGTTTTCAATAATTTCCTGGAGTTTTGGCAGCCAAGAGGTCATCAGGTGACAGTTTGCAAGAAATACCCAGTGGCCTTCTTTCCGTCCTCGGTCGATGAGCTCCGTGGCGATCGACGCTTGACCTTGTCCAAGAGCGACAGAGAACAACTTATCACTCATGTCTCTGCTCGCCGCCAATTGCTTCAAATTTGCCGTTGGGTCTACGCCGGAACTCAGGACAAAGATGCACGGCACCGCACAGGTTGAATCAAAGTACACTTCATTCAGATTGAGAACGGGTGGATCGATAAACTTCGGTCCGAGATTCTCGGCGACGTAACGCCTGATTCCACTCTCCACGCGGTCCAATCTCAGTGACCGCAAAATTAAGAGTCTCTGAAGCGTCGTCACCACTTTTTCCCAACCACCTGGAAGCGCTTGTGTTTCGGGTTTGGAGTGTCGAAACCACCCCTCCCAATCACTCGTATGCGTTTCATTTATCGATTCTGGAAGCGTACCAAGAACCTTCTCAAAGCTGATCGACAGCGAGAGTACGTTCGACCACTGATCTTCATTCAACCAAGAACGCGTCTCATCACGCATATCGGTGCCGCCGAAGTCATGAGCACCGCTTGCTCCTCGCTCTCCGCCGCTTACAAAATATTGCCATTCATCTGGCGGCACGCGGCCGAGCTGAGAATGAATTTGCACGCACATCTGCAAGCTAAGCAGAAGCTTGTGTGATTCGAACAAACCGCGAGAAGTGTAACGATAGACAGCATAGGTATGGTATTCGTTCAAAGCGTTCAAGCGTGCATCCACTTCATCAGAGCCCGCGGATGTATTTCTCTTTGACTTCGTTATCGAACTGTCGAACAAGCTCGTGTACGCGTCCAAACTAAATTGATACATAGGATCGATATCGGCGAGGCTGTACAAAGTGAAATACAGCATCGTGGCGCGGATTGCGGCAGGAGCGTACGCCGCCGCAGCTCGCTCGATTTCCGCTCCAGTGGTTTCTGCGATTTTTAAACTCACCGTGACCTCTTCGCTCGTGTTCTTTGAGCGAGTCAGGGAATCAATGAGTTCGATGTTATCGAGTAGAGACCCGGAGGCCTTGCTCAGTAAATCCAAAATCAAATCTTCAAGTTCGCTTAGCTTGCGCTTACCCCTCGCCACCTTTACGACGAGCTCGTTCTTTTGTGCATCCAGCTCGGGGCGTTCACGCCGCACAACCAAATCTCTGAGCTGCGCATTAAGTCCCTGCTCTTTCACGGTGAAGTTGATAACGGCCAGCTTGGTGCTCACTTCAGGCGTGTAATGTGGATTCATCATCTTGGTGGTAAAATATAATCGGAAGTTTGAAGAATAATCAAGCTCCTTGTCGCCAAGCTTCACCGTCATCGAGCCGCCTTTCTTAATGAAGGCTTTTGCGACAACATTCTCCAAGATTGGATCAATAGTCTCCTTGATATCCTGTATGAGGATCGGAACGCCGAATTGAACGGCGTGTTCGACCTGGCGCACCATATCGGGAGCGTGTAAAGCTGTAACGATCAGCCCGTTCGAAGCTTCCATCGACTTGATCCACTTGTTTCCCTGACCCTGCGGATCGATGAGCAACGGCCACCGATTGCCGCGAGTGACGATGACCCCATTCTCGGTGCTAAATGAATCGGCAGGCAAGCCTTGAATGTTCCAATCTCGCACATCCGAGGGGTCAGCGAGGAATTTTGCGAAATCAAAGCCACTGGAACAGGGAATACCCGTCTCTTTCAACATCGGCACCCAAGAGTCTACGATGAGCGCCGTTCGATACTCGGACGGAAACGCGCCGGCGTAACTCATGAAAGCGGCAGCGATACAAACGTCTCCCGGAAGACGCACAATCTGATCGCTAAATTCCTCAATCGAACTCGCCCATCGCTTCTTCTCGCCTGATAAGCCGTCAACTAACGCTTCAGCTCGTTCGAGCTTGAGCTCCAAATCGGCGAGTTCACTTTCTAGCGAGGCCTTGTTTGAGGCCGACTTTTCGTAATTTTCCTTTAACGCCGCCACTTTAGCCATAACTTCCGCCAAACTCGCCTGCGTAAGGGCAAGATCATCTTGTTTCGTTGTGAGTTGATCCTGTGCTTGCTTGAGCATCAGCCTCTTGGGTGCGATTTCCCTCGCAACGTTGCCGTACGAAAACATCGCGTGAACCCACTTGCACAATCCCTTTGCTGCATTGGAAACTTTGCCGATCACGTCAGGTTGGTAATCAGGATTGTTCACAAACTTTGCCATTTTTGTCAATAATCCATCGACGAGCGTGTCTTTGTCGAAATGGAGCAAGCGCTCTAAGAAGCCTGAATCTCCCAGCTGCTTTTTTGCTTCGTCCCAAGTTGTCGGACGCTTGAGCACGGTCAGTACACCTTTCAAACACAACTCGACCAATGCGGGAGGTTTGACGTATGATTTGAGCTCACCCATGTCCTTCTTTGTCAGGACATTCAACGCAGCTTCGGCTTCACGGAGCGCTGGCAACGCCTCATCCAGCTTAAGTTGACATTCTTCCGCAATGACATTTGCCTTTTGCGCTTCCACCTCGATTCGCTCCGCCTCTGCACTGACACGCATGCTTTGTTCATCCGCCGCACGTTTGTCCTGGACAATCACCTTGAGTAGCTTTTCACAGTCCGTTTTTGCCTCGGCAACCACTTTAGCCTTGTCCTTGCAGACGCTTTGCATGTCGCGAACTTGAACCTCGGTTTCCGCAAGTTTTGTCAAACCACCTTGGAGTTTATCAATCTTTGTGTTCAACTCTCGCTTCTTTTCAACCATTAGCGCTCGGAAAAAGTTGACGAATTCGATATAATTTGTTGGCGTTACGTACATCTTGCGCTTGATTGCGTAGAACATATCGGCAGCGGCGGATGTTGTCGACGCGTGAATTTTCCCAAAAATTTCACACAAGTCATCTTTTATTCGTGATTCCACGTCATCTCCTTGCAACTTTTTCGCAGCGACCTCCTTCAGCGCGTCCACCGGCCAATCATTGAACCAGTCGATGGTGCAACAGTTAACCAATCCAGGGAACATTCGCGTTCGCTCTCGGAAGGCGTCTCCAACAGGGGACATGCACAAAACGATGTGCAAGTTTTGCATGACGCGCTCCATGAAGAATGCGAACAGCTCGTCGTGAGTAACCGCCCGAATATTTTGTGCCTTTGCAATCTTGCGCATGTCTTCACAAATAGCGCTCACTTCGTCTTTCGCAAACAGACCAGGAATCTCACCAGAGGTCAGTGCGTTGTTCACATCCTCCAGAAATGTCTCCTTGACAATTTGCGTGTCATCCAATATGAACACCGTCGGCTTGCCAGTAACGCCTGTTTGACGATACAACACCTTTATATCTTCTCTGAACTCGAGTTGCTTGTAATTCTTGGTGATTTCGATAGAGAAAGATGTCATCTCCGCCACGTAAGCTGCAAGTCGCGCCAGCGATTTACGTCCACTTCCTCCTACGCCGACAAGTAAGGCGTGCCCACGAGGTTGAGTGAGGACGCGATGTATACGGCACACGTGCGTCATCGCATCACTGAAAAGAACGAGATCCATCGGCGCGTTTCCAGCTTCCAGTCCGTAATCCTCAAGTTTTTCGCTGAGAAATTCTTTGAGTGCTGGCACATCACCGACAACTTCGTACGGCGGCGCGTCCACACCTTGACGCATGAATGAAACAAACTGGGGGCAGAGATGGAACTCCTCGTCGACCTTACTCCTCGTCACTTGAGACGAACTTGACGATAAAGACGACGGTAACGTTTCGTTCCATGACGTACCGAAATGTACTTGCATCGTGCTGTCGATTTGTCTCTGAAGCCATGATACATCCTTCAAATCCCACAGACGATCGCCATAGACACGCATATTTTCGTGTATCCATAACTGCAGAATCGATTCTTTGGAATCATAAAACTGTTTCGTCGCGCGTGTGACTCCTTGTATGACTTTCGAAAGATCTCGAGTGTTGAACAGATAGTGACTCTTTGTCGGAGTTGGCAAGAGTTCGCAGACGAGTGAGTTGAACACGGCGATACTGGCCTTTGCGATATTCGAGCCGAGTGATGCGATTGACTGGTCGAAATCGGACTGCATTTCACCGAGTATCGTACCGTAAATTCTCTCAAGCTGGGATTCTGAAGGATCCGTCATGTTCAAAACGGCGAACATGGACAAAATGCGCTGGGAAAACTGGTTACGACCGCCGCCGGGTGGCGCCATGGCCGCAAGGAGCTTCATGTCGTTCACGTAAGTTCGCTCTTGCTTGGATCGGTCGTACCAAAAGCCATTATCGTTCCATAATTTTAGTAGTTCTAGCGGTGGGATGAAGCCGAACTCGCTTTTCTTTGGCATGTTCAAATCATCGATGGCGAGCACGAGCTTTCGTCCTCCGGGAGGCGCGAGACTCCCTTTTGAACGTTTTTCGAGCTTGCCCTCGACAGTTTCTTGAAGCGAATTAGAGCTCGTCTGAGCGCTAAACGTAATTCTACTGCCAACGTATCCTTCTGGGAGTTCAGTTAATAAAGAATCGACAACCATAGACTTGCCGACGCCCACGTTGCCAACGATGAGCGTATTTGAGCCAGCGCCAAGCAGGAGCGACGCGACATGCTTCGTCCGAACGGAATCAATTGTCGGTATCATAATTTTAAAGAACGGCAATCCTTCATGAGGGAGATGGTACGTTGGTATTTTCTCCACCCACGGCAAGAAAGCGCAACGGTCGTTGTCGTAATAGAAATCGAACACTGTCACATCTGTTGGTGCCGAAGCCGGTGTGTGCGGGAATAGCTTCGGCGGCATGATGCGATGTAGCATATCGTCGAATCGTATGCGACTCGCATGGTCAATCGATCCCCCGATCGACCACACTAGAGAAAACACACATATCGCTTCAACGTGCTCGGCGCTCGAAACTGTGTGCGCGTCAAAAAGCGTCGTAAATTGCCGAACGTTTGCAAGCTGATCAGTCTGCACGAGTTCCGTGCACTTCATGCGCTTGAACTCCAACGCTTCGTTGATGTATTTGTCGATGCACCTCGACAACGTTTCCTCGATGATCTCATCCGCATCACCATGAAGCTTCCTTTCACTCTGCCAGCTTAGGATGTAAGGTTGCCATCCAAGATCTTCAACGTTGAAGTAAATCATCCCGGCTCGAGAAACAGTCGCTGGCGACGCCTGTGAAAGATCTTCAACCTCGAACAAGATGGACACCTGAGAGCTCATCATAATTCTCTCACCTGAGAGCAGTGTCAGCAATTTATTGTCGTCCAAGAGCGTATTCATACTTTCAATCCATAGCGTATCCACCGGACCATCCATTATAATCCACTTTTGATTGGGTGACTCGTCTTTGCACACGTCGCGCATGATCTTCGCTAAGACTCCATCCGACCATTCGTGTGTCGCTTGGTCGAACGAGCCGTAAAGTTCGTCGTTTGACAATGCGAGTGGATTAATTGGATACAGTTCGACGTTCTGGAAATTCTCGCTGTGCACTCCATTTTGCTTCAATCGCGCCATCGCTTTCATTAACATTTCTCTCGCTCGTGTTTTTCCCGATCCAGTCTTCCCCACGATCATGTTCCCGTGTCGAGCCGTTTTACAGTCAAAAATCTGCACAATCTTCGAGATCCATGCGTCCTCTGGTTGTAAGTTGTTGTGTTTGCACTCCTCAATGAGCGCTTCTCGGAGTACGACTGAATCCTCCTGCGGCGCACTTACGTCGGGAAACAAGTCGGTTATCAACGCCTTGAATAGTGGGATGTCAATATAGACGAGTTTCGGAATGATCAAGTCTCTCATGGCGTTGAACAAAATTAGATGTTCGTCCACGTTCGGAGTTTCGCGCTTCTTCGTTCCCGCGGCGCGAGAAATAGGAATAATGAATGAACGTAACGTGTAATCGTAGTGATCTTGTTTGCTGAGTTGTTGTTGACTCAACTCCATAATTGCTACCATTTTCTTGGCCAGTGACTTGGCGTTTGTGAATCCCTCGCTGAACATCATTATTTCAGCAATCAGACAAAAATCAGGTACCATCATTGACACTGGTCGAACGATGGCTTTGAGGTTGTCGGGGAGCTCAGCGCGGCCGGCGTAGCCTGGATTCATCGTCACAAACACACCGCAAGATGGAATCAAACGAATGCGTTGACCTTCGAATTCGAACATTGTCAAATTTTGCTTGACAGCTGCCATGACGACGCTGATTTGTGTTGCGACGACGGACAATACCTCAACCGTGATACGGTTGAATTCGTCTAGACAAGCCCATGCTCCCGTTTGAGCTAATCCACTGAACATCTTACCCGTCATCTTATAATCTACACCGTCAGAACAATTGAAAACAATGACGTAACGCGCGAGCGCCTTGCCAAAATCCTTAACCGTTTCCGTCTTACCAGTGCCCGCTGGGCCAAGTGGATTACCTCCTCGACGAGTAAACATCGCCGCGCCAAGCGTCATGTAGCATCGATCGGTCAGTGGCGTGACCACTAATCGACCATTGTTACCTTGGTACTCGTATCCGTAGTCAAACACGCTGAGAACTTGCTTCACTGTGCAATGTTTCGTCTCGCGATCCCAGTAAAATCTCAGCTGTGAAATCCACTCAAAATCGCTCGGTGACGAACAGCCGCTCCTAATTAGCTTCTCGATAGCGTCTCGCGCGTGCACTTCGATGGTTATCAGCGCCGTCACCTTTTTACGCGTCACCTTATCCAGAGACGTTCGCGTCAACTCAACAAGTTTGTTCAGGTATTGAATCCATTTCCGTCTCAACTTCTTGAGAGCATCCTTGACGTCTTCCGGATCGCGTAGCGCGCGTTCGCACTCTGTCGTCCAAGCGATGCAGCCAGCTGTGATGAGCATCTGACCTGGATTATCCTTGACCCACTTGTCCTTTTTAACGCCCTTTGTGCGGCGTGCGTCGTATGTGCTGGCCAATTGCGACTTTGTGGCTGCGTACATGGCTGCCTCTACAGTGTTCAACCATTCCTCCGGACGTCCCTCCGTGCGAATTGGATCGTCGAAAGGAATCGTTTCTCCGTCTGGAGATGTCATCGCGACAGACTCATAGTGCTTCCTGCCGGTGAGCGGATCCGGAGCATGCATCTTCAACTTTTTGATGCCTTCAAACATGCCTTTAAGGTGCGGTTGGATGTTCTCCGGTTCCTTGGCCTGACCCAAAATTTGCAGCAAATCATCGTTACTCAGAAAGTAAAAGCGTGGAAAGGCCTGCCTTTTCGACTCAAGATAATCATCGAGCGATTTTTGAATGAGTTCAAGCTTTGCGTCCATGTCGCTAAGCTCTAACAATAGCTTGTCGTCGGGAGTATCATTAATATCAGGGGCTTGCGCTGCTGTGCACGCCGAGACAACGTTACTCGTCCGATGCATTTCCTGCATGACATCGATGAAACGAACGTTGATCGCACCGAACGTTTCTGTCTCTTTGGGGAGCTGTCGTGCAATATCGTCACTGCCGATGAAAATGTTCTCGAGGTACATCCATGCAAGTTGGACTTTCAACACCATCTCGACCACGTCATTCACCATCCCGAGCGTCTTCTCCCATGACGTGATTGTATGCTCAAAAACAGAAAAGAACTTGCTCGCTTTCAGAGTACTCAGCGTCACCGTGTGATCTTCAAGAGCATTGAAAATATCTTCAGCGCTGCGTAGCTTCATTACGTCGTCTCTACCTTCCTTGAATGGACCGGTGTCGAGAGCTATATTTGTCCATTCGTTCGCGATGCCGCGAAGTGTATTTTCAACAGAAAGCTCCTTCGTAGCGTCCGTGCTGATTTCGGATATGGCTTCTGCATGGTGATCTAGACCGAGCTCCACGACCTTATCCAACGTGAACGCATCGCTTTCTGGATCGAATCGCTGTCCGCACGCATCCATGACGAGCTCCCAGTGTCGCTGCCGAATCGCTGGGTTCCGCATGTCAATTATGAGAGGCGTAATGCGCTTGAATGAATCAACCGTTTCCTTCAAACTGATCCACGCGCCCCAGTTTTTAACTTTACCGCGACCTAGCTTGGTTATTTTTTTGCACAGCAATGTCGCCGAGCCTTCCATGGAATCAACGTCCAGGTCGTTGAATTTGCCATCTTTCCATCCTTCATACATGGTATTCCACCCTCTTACGACCTGCCAAAGGAATTTGAGCTGCTCCAAGTCACTTCGTACTTCCTCGATATCATCTAGAAAAGGATGAGAGAGTTCCTTAAAGACCACGAGTCCGCTCAAGATCACCTTGGCGCGCTCGTTGAATAGGGTGAGCGCTTCGTCGACGCTCTCGATGAAGGCCCACGCATTGTCGCACGCGGTTTGCGTGCAAGAAGGGTGCGTCTGCGTGGGTGCAGAGAGCGCAAACTTCGTGTGATACTCCTTTGAATCCTTTTCAAGATCCGATATCGACACTTGCAGCTCCTTTTTGAACACGTCTTTTGTTGTAACAAGATTTGACTCGACCGTCTCCAACAACGCTTTGAACTCTTCAAATTCACCGTCAATCGACGCCAAGAGTTCGGACTCTGTCTCTGTGATGTCTGCAAACTGATTCAAAACGCGAAAAGTCTCCCTCGGTTTGACGAACGTCGCTGGTACTGATTCCAGACTGGACCGAAGTTTCTCCATCGCACCTACGTGGGCGACAAGCTCAGGAATGTTGGAGGGCGTCCGCTCAAAGACTGCCAAACTCGACGAAAAGTAGCGAATCACCTCTTGTACTTCGGACTGCGCTTTCGATCGTAACATTCCAATAGTCTCCTCCGCGTTCGCTCGTGACAGAGAGAGCAAACTTTGCTTCAGATAACCACACTCGACTCGCACAAAACCAATAACGTGAGTTTGCTCCTCGCTTTGAACGTCCTCTGTGGACTCTCGTAGGTGGCGAACGTGTGCTTCTATGGCGGCATTATCTTCAAAATTAACAGCCTGATTCGACCAAAGATGACAATAGCGTTCTTCCCAGTGCTGCGCCAGTTTAGTGAGTTCGCAAGTGATGATTTTCATCGAGTCGTCCACACTCACCCAAACCCGATGTATGATTTCACGATTATCGTCGACCAGTCTCTCGTGAAAAGAACGCTCTGCAGACATCTGAGGAATACTCTCGTAAACGCCAAGAGCATCGCTAAAGAGGACCTGTATCATGTTACTCAGATGAGCCACTCCAGGTGTTGTCTCAACTTGATTGCTGCTGTCGTCGCGCTTCAGGTCAAAGTGCATCAGAACTATCGGCTTTTGCGGCATTAATTCGCATACGCGTCGCCCCATCGTAGTGTTAAAATGTGACAACATACGCATCAAAACTTTGCGGAGCGCATAGACGAAGGACTCTTCGACGTGCGTTGTGTACATCACCCACGGTTGACTTCGTGCGTCAACGTTCCCGATGGCATCAAGTTGATCCCTGAGCATTTTGCGAACCGCGTCGCTCGTATCCCGAAAGAGTTCGCGAATATCATCAACACGATCCTTGTACGCACTGTTCAGCTCATTCAGGGAGCGCACGCCATCGTTTACATCTCCATGTAACAGAGTGCCAGAGAGTTTCTCGAGTGCCAGGGTTATTCGTGAACTCAATAACTTAAACTTGACCAGTCTATCTCGACAAAACGTGCAAAATGCGTCTGCCTCCGTGCAAAATCGATCAATTACGGATGTTTCAGATCGCCACGTTAATTCTGTCGCGGCCGCACGAAAGAGGTTGTGCAAGATTCCAATGTTTCCTTCGAAGAGCTGTTTCACGTGCTGTCCCTCTCGGATTTCTTCCAATAACGAGTTGTTTCTGTCCACTAACGCGAGGAGTCGCTCGCGAAGCGCGTGATGCGAGGCTTGGACATCGCCGAACGCAACTTCCCTGAGACCAATCGGAACATTTCGAGAGATTGATGCGAATGCGCGGGCGTCGATGCATGCGATTTGCAAATCATCTGCGTACACCACACACGATCGTCCACTTTCTTCGACGCGCAAAATCGGCTGTCGCAGACGATCGTCCACACTCAACTCATGCATTTTGTGTTCCCATTCAGAATACTTTTCGTCGATGAAGAGACGAATTTGTGGTGTGGTCAAATTATACCCTGCAAGTAAATCGATCAACTCTGGTAGACTCGGTAACGCCCCATCTGCGTGCGCTCGTCGCAGCTCACCGAAACCAGCTTCGAGGCGATGCAGTAATTTACGCGCCCACTGAACTGAACCAAACGTTTGCGTGAGCTTTGCCTCGATCGGAGGTTTCTGGCGGTGTGCATCAAATTGACGCTTCACCGCTTGCAGTTCTTCCGCAAACGAACCGTATGTCCGCGCCGCGTGGTATTCCAACGCTCGAATTGTCGCGTCCCTTCGAGCCACACTCGTGTGCAAAATGCGCAGTAACTCTGCTCGAGCGTTCAGTGTCGTCGTTTGCTCTAGAGCTTCGCCGAAAATCGCGCAGAGTTTCATTTCCAACTTCTTGACTCGCGACTTGAACGCGGCAAAATCGTCATGCCAGTGGGTTGTAGACACATCAAGTATGTCGTACTCAATATTTGCCAAACCTTCGGTAATGATGCTGATGAAAATGCGTTTCATGACTTGCATTCTTGCGTCGAGCTTGTAACGGATTATGCCATCCGTGCTTGGAAACGAACGAGACATGGGCGGTGCGAACTGTTCGCGCGCCTCACACAATTCCAGTAAATCCTTACACCGGTGCGAAAAAGCGTCCAGATGCGAGAACGTCGTCGTAGTATCGACGCAAGGTGTAGCTTTATCTTCAACTTCGGTGCGCTCAACATAAACCTCCTTCCAGAGTTCGGCGACGTTTGCGCATTCCCGAAGGGTGCAAATGGCCTTGTCGTAATCGTCGCTGCTCGATTCTTCCTCCCGTACGATGTCCTTGACGTCGAAAGAGCGCTTACACACGGCGGCTATTTGATCACCAATTCTTTTCAGTAGTTCGACGTGGAGATCCTCCGCTGATTCTTCGTCTTCTAAACATCTTGCCTCCCAAGCGTCGCACATGACGTCGGCGAGCCGAGGTAGAATCGCTCGTACATCCGCTAGTTCAGCCGTGATGAGCATTTCACACGACGGTTTCACCAACTTGAGCGCTACATTCGCCTGCTTCGCGATTCTAAGCTCGTATTCGAGCGATTCTCGAAAGGCGTCCATATCTTCCAGTAAATAGTTGGCGTTTTTCTGAGACGCGAGGCGCCTTAATATCCCCTTCACACCTTCTGATTGTACCTGCTCGAGAAGTCCCCGAAGGTTCGCCGCACGCTTGGGCCAGAATTGTAACAAACCGGCGAGCGGAGAAAGCGCTGTCTCAATGAATTCACTCGAATTCACGTCGTCTTCGATTTGATCTCCATTCCGTCCCAGTGCAGCCCGGAGTTGCCTCGTCCAGTTGGCGACGATGTTCTCAACGTTACCGCCGCCCTCGTTCTCCGGCACGTACAAAATCGTCTGACGTGCATTAGATGCATCAACAAGTTTTGACATGAACGCGTGCGCGTGCGCCTCGTGATCGCTAGCGAGAGAGTCAGAATCAACGACGCCGTCTCCACGGACTCGCGCAATCGTTGACGTTTCACGACGCATCGACAAGGAGTACACGCCGAGCATGAATTTTTCGAGCGTCTTCAAACTCATCAAGTCCGGACTAATGTGTAGCACGTTCACGTCATCGCCAGCGACGAGAGGAGACGTAGGAAGCAAATAATCGGCGCTCCCGCTTTCTCTGTTGGAAGTGCGAATGAGCACGGATGCTCGACGAACATCTCTGGGAATATCACGCGTGAGTCGAATCACGAACTCGTCTCCGGAATTTGGCTTTCGCACAATCTGACCGTGAGCAAAGATGGCCACCACGCGTTTACCATCCCGCGCGACTCCATCGAAAAATTCATCCATCATACCGATGCGTTCCTGTGTTTCGCGGTTTGTCAGTCTCAACTTGCGGTTCGTTCCATCATCACAACCGTACCTCTTCCACGATCGCACTCGACTCGACGTTTATGTGCGCATAGTCCTTTCGACCATCTCTCTCGATGCGTGCTCCCGACACGAGATGCAAAACCACGCGCTCTCGTATCCATCTCGCTCTGTCCTCGCCCAACTGGACGCTCTCACTGGTGCTTGACGCTTCGCTCGGTGCGGGCGATCCCGAGCGCGAGGGCGGGCGCGCGAGGGAGCTGCGATGAATGAACGGCGTCACGAGAGCCATGTCGAATCCGTTGATGTCCCGCTCCCTCGTCGACCTCGCTCCGCGCTCTGCGGGGCGGCACTAAAAATGGACGGGCGTGTTGACTTTTCATCTCGAAAAACGTCGATTCATCTTCTTGGCTTCGGAGACTCCGAAGGTTGGTTATCGTCACACCGAGGCGCTGTTTCGGACATGGACGCGACGCTCGAAGACGTGCAGCGATGGAAAATGATGAACGGACGACCGACCGGCGTGGAAGTCATCGACTTGCACGTCGCAAAGGTGAGAGACGTCGTCGAGCGCTTGCGCCAGACGGGTGCCCGTGAACGCGAGGGCGTGTGCGACCCGATGCGGGACTGCTTGGTGCACGAATCGATGCCGACAACGGATGAAAGGCTAATCGGAATTCGATCATTGTTTGAACTTTTTAGCCGCGAGTTGTCCGATGCGCTCGCGGGACCGGCCGAGCCCGGGATGGACGATTCCGCGGCAGGCATCGCGCACGACGAATTGGACGCGGCGGAGACTGTCGGTTTGGTACGGAGCGAACACGGCCTCGGACACGATGACGATCGGCTCACGGACCTTAATGTTGATGGATCGCCGCAGAACGTTCTCGAGACGGTTTTCGAGCTCCCAGCGACGCGTCTAGATGAGTTTGCGTCTCCGCTCACGAAATGCGACTCGCGCGAAAAATGGCGAGACGCTATCAAACTCCTCGACGAGCGGGATAGTCACGCTCTGTTCTTCTCGATCGAAGAAAACGACCAGTGTATCGAGTGCGTCGTCACCGCCGAGGATATCATACACTTTCTCGGAGTCGAACAAACGCTGCATCGCGCAGTTGGCGCGTGCTTCGATGAATCGATTCTGTTTGATTCCGTAAAAGACACGTTCATCGTCGTTCATCAAGAACACAATTTCAACATAACGGCCGCCGATTGCTTTTTATGGCTTCGAAAAGAAACTGCAAACGCGGTGGTTTACGTGGAGTCGAGCTTTTGGGGGCGAGTTCCAGGTGAGCAGGACGTTCACGGACATTTGCTCTGCGAGCTCTCAATCCGAGACGTCTTAGACCTGAATCCGGATAATTTCGTGGACATTTTCAACGTCGATCCGGTGGCCTACGTGAGTTCAAAGCCCAGACTTCACGGCGTCTGTCGAGCAGTCTTCGTCGAGGGCGTGTCTGGTTCGACCACTGATTCGGCGCGGCGGGCGATTGAAAAGTTTGCGGCCAAGCGACCTCGTCGGTTACCTCGACGATTCTACGTCATTCATGACGAACACGTCCGCGCGTGCACGCCACTGAGCATTCTTCGAACGATCCTTTGCGATGCGAGTGATCGTCAGCGAGCGTGAACCGCAATTAAAGCGTCGGTAGTACCGCATAGCAAAATGTGAAAATTTCCAGAGACAAAATTTCCAACGACGTTTCCACAGCCGAACCGCCGCCGCACCGTATTCCTCGCGACAACATGCCCGCGCGAACGAGTCGCGGCGCCGGGACGACGCGTCGAAAGGCGTCCACCGGAAGATCGTCCGATCGTCGCGGTGACTCCTCCTCGGACGACACCGACGGGACGCTCTCGGACTCGGACTCGAGCACGTCGCAAACCTCCCTGTTCGGCGCCATCGAAGACGGGGACGTGGACGAGTTTAACAGAATCGCTCGAAACGACCCAGAGGCGTTTAAGCACGTGAACTCCAACGGATGGACCGCGGCTCATCAAGCGGCGTACAGCGGAGAGCATAAGATGCTGAAGAAGGCGCTTGAGGCTGGCGTGGACGTGAACGCGAAGTGCGCCGACGGCTGCCTCGCCGCGCATTACGCGAGCGCGCAGGGAGAGAAGAAGTGCTTGCAGGTGTTGTTCGATTTCGGAAGCGAAATGGAGACCAAGGATAATGACGGAGAAAGCCCTCTGGACGTGTCCACGAACACCATTCGCGAGCTCTTAGCTGATCTCATTGTCGACGCGAGAACGCGCAGGACGGGTGCTCAATAACATTTTTTGCTCAATAAAATTTTTTACTGTACGACGCGCCCACGCTCGTGTCGTCTCAAGCGCTCGGACGAACGAAACGTTCCGTGGCAGTGATATCGATGTCGTGATTCGGGTCGTTCGAAATGAATCGGCGTACGCACGTCATCTCTGTTCCGTCTTCTGAAACGGTTCGAGTCGTCGTCTCGCGACCGAGAGAGCTCTCGGTCCTCACCTCGTGTGTACCCGTCTTCGCGTCGAATGCAGCGAAGCGCCGAACCTGACCTGGTTCCTTCCCGAAAATCTGACTCGTTTTGTACGACTCCACGAAACCGTCCTCGCTCAAGACGTACGTCAGCGTTCTATCGGTGCCGCTCGCGCTTGTCGTACGCACGGTGAACTCGCCGTCCACACCCGAATCCGACGAGCACCACGTCTGTGCGTATCGCTCTCGAGAGCGATCTACGGCGGTGACACCGACGCCGTGTGCGACGAGATACGCGACGACGTGTTGATTACGCTGGGGGTCTCGAAGCCAGTCGCCAAGAAATGAACGATGGGCGGACGAGTGTGCGTCGTCGTCGCTCGCGGATGCTCTCGAGTGAGCAACGCGAACGGCATCACGGCCATGGAAGCGGCCAACGCGCGTCGAACGCGCCACGCGAGCGCTCACCGTCGCGGTCGCCATGTTGTGGCGCGCGTTTTCTATGTGTTTGCTCACGGTTGTATTACAGTGTTACAGTGTCGCCCTCTCAAGGACCATCGTTCCCGCTCGCTGGCGCGCCGTCAATGGACGTTCTACGTTGCGCCGCTATTAATTCACCACGTCTTGGTTTCGCCTTTCTCGCCACGCTCAGAGCCTTCGCGTAGTTGAACGGATTATGCATTCGAGAAATGATACCTCGGTCGCCATACGCTCCGGGCTTTGACAAAATTGTGAGTGGGTGCGGTGTGTTTAGCAATACTCGTTGCGCCGCTTCCCTACCGCGAGCAGAGAGCATAGCTGCGACGCCGCCGTCGGCGTCGAGTAAAGCGTCCTGGTCCTCTCGAAGCGTGTTCAGAATAAGAGAAGCAGTCAGTGCGGCATCGCTTTGAGTCAAACATGCTATTTGGTGCAACCGAAGGTTCTCGACCCGTTGCGGCTCCTCGTTCTCCTCTGAATCTTCCATGACGCGCATCGGTCGCCGGTTGAGCCAAGACTCTTCGCCATCGTCGTCATCGGTCAAGCGTGCGCGCGTGCTGAGTGTTTCAAACAACCCGTCGCCGTCGAGGCAGTACAAGCCCGGGCCGGAAGGCAAGAGCGGGTGCTCGCTGTTCTTCGCGTTCGCGTTCGCCGCTTGGAGCATGAACAACGTCCCCATAGGAGTGTAAAACATATCTTCCTCTAACCAGTTCGCGCTCGACGTGTCCACGTTAAACGGTCCACTGTCGAGGATATTTTGTGCCCATTTTGGATAATAGCAAGAGAAGGATCGAGGGACGACGTCGTCACCCATCATCACCGATCGAATGAACGTACGCGGAAGACCGAGGCGCGCGAGGAGTGCGTCGCCACCAAGCATACAATATGGCGCTCCAAACAACCACACGTCGGCTAACGCATACCGCGGTGCGCCGTTTCGCATCAGGAGCATCAACGCCAAGAGAGTCGCGATCGATCCGCCGATTGAGTGGCCGGTGATTCGCACGCGCGCTCGAGCTCCGTGTTTGGTAACGTGCGCCTTTACTGCTTCCTCAACGCGTCTATACATCGTCTGCGCCGCTGCGTACGCTCCTCGGTGTACCTTGACGTCAAAATCATCCTCAAATGTTACCGACTGAAACGTGAAATTCGTTTGCCAGCTCGCAATGTTGGTCGAGCCCTCGACGACAACCCAAAGCGTCGCGGTGTCATCTTGCGCAGCAACGCAGAAATTAACCGGGAGTGTCGCGTTTTCCATCCTGTCCTGTTGTATGCGTTCCGCTTCCCTCTGCTTGTGCTGCTCAAGCACCGTCTTCCTCATTTCACTTTCGAGCACTGCGAGTTCACGCTGCATTTCCCATTTTTTTAGTCTTTGCTTATTCTCCTCGGCGATTTTGGACGCTTCTTCCATTCTCTTTTGCGCTTCCATAGAGAGTTTCTTCGCGTTTTCCGCCATGTCCACTGCCTTCGCCAATGAGCCTTCCTCCTCGGCGCTCTCACGAAGTTCTGCTGCGAGCTCCAGAGCTTCCGCTGCGAGCGCCGCCGCTTCCGCCGCGGCGTTCATCGCGGCAACTTCGCGCTTGGCGTCCTTGACAGCGCTGACTCGGTTCGCCATCATAGCTTCCTCGAGAGCCCGCTCGGCTTTTGTCGCCGCTTCTTCAATGAGAACCTTGCCTGCTCGAAATTCCGATGACGGTATCACTCTGTTCTCATCCAAAGATGACGTGATCAGTCGTAAGCGGTTCCGTGGAAGCGCGTGTTGCATCTGCGGAAGGTAGTATATCCACGCCGAGAGCGCGCACGCGAGGCGGGCATCACCGATTTCATCGTCCCCGACCGGTCGAAGCGCGTTTGCAACGACTTTTTGAAGCGCCGGCCTCACCATCGTGCTCAGGCCTTCGAAATCTGCTCGTTTCGATTTGTCAAGTCCAAATGAGGTAAGCCGCGAAATCGTCTGCGTCAACTCTGAGGCAACTAGTGCATCTTGTGCGCTCTCACGCGCGTTCGCAATAGCCCCGAGGAGTCCGCGACGAGCGCTCTCTGGTCGACTGACGTCGGGGGAAAGTGTCTCGCCCATACTCTCATCACCGAGCGATCCGAGCTTCTCGACGCGAGTCGCTACGTACGACACTTGCCTGAGCGCGTCCGCGACGGCGTTATTCGAGCTCTTAGCCTGTTGAATCACCGCGGACTTGGCGACTTCCAACGCCTTGAGCGCTTCTTCACCCTTCGCTCCAGCTTCTGAACGAATAGCGGCTTGAGCTCTATTCACTTCTCGAACTGCCGCTTCAAGCCCTTCCGCTGCGCTGCGAGCTTCGTTCGCCGAGGAACGAGCGTCACGCAGTGAATCGCGCAACGCCTTGACCGCGGATTGATCTCTAACAAGGCGAACATCCTTCTCAACGCGCATCTCCGCCTCTTCGATACCAATAAGAACCGAATTGAGTTTGTCAAGTGCAGCCGACGTGACGTTGGCCGCGGTCTCGTTTGCGCCGCTTATCGCGTTGTTCACATCTGTGGTGGACAAGGACGTCTCGAAATTCATCTCGTCCCTGGCTGATGAAGGAGTCTCTTTCGTTCCAAAGACGCGCTGTCGAATCCAAGGCGGCAACGGTACGCGCTGTAGAAAATTGTCCGAACTATCAGACTCTGTGTCCTTTGGCGAAGGTTCCACCGCGGCTCGCTCAGCGTCCTCGACCATCTGGGCACCGACGTCCTCGTCGCTCTTGACCGGCATCCACGAAGATGTTGCAGATGCGATCGACTCACTCACACGCCATCCGTTCGTCCATCTAAACCATCCGCCTTGCGATTGAGGTTTCGTTGTCAACTCCTCATCGTCAACGCTCATCGTCGGTGTAGATGTTTTCAACTCGTTCGTGTCCGTCTCCTCCCCGGTGTCGTCCTTGATTACGTTGCGACCGACTTCTCCAAACCAATCTACCACACGTTTTGTGAGCTCCATCGGGTTTCTCGACGCATCAATCGCCTTTTTGGCAGACTCTTCAACAGGTTCAGTCACGGACGCTTCCGAGACGGCTGATGCGACCGCCGCGACGCTTGACTCAGCCTTGGACGCGACTTTTTCTCTGTTGACCTGTCGCATGCGCTCCCTCAGCCTTTCGAGCGACGCTTTTAGAGCTTCCGGATCCGGCGTCTCGCTCGGTTCTCTTCCATCTGTCCTGGTCGACGCGTCGGTTCCTTTCGAAGCGACCCGAACCGCGCCCCTTCTCTGCGCTCTCCTCCGTCGCGTCGTTCGCGTCGACGTCAACGGGGCCGAACGCGCGTGAGGGATCGATGTGAACGTCCCCGTCGTCGCGCTTCGCATGCCGAATCGTTCGCTGTGACGGATTCGTTCTCTCACACGTCGCGCTCACGGCGCAACGAGATCTTCGACTGATTCACAAAAGCTCGCGCTCGCGCGATGGATCCGTCGCCGCGTCGACGTGAATGCGGACGCGATCGACGTTGTGTAAACGCTCGCCCACGCTCTCTCACCGGCTCGCGGCGCGAACGCCCGAGCGCGGTGCGCGTCACGGTAAAGTCGACGAAGAATAAACTAACCTGCTCTCGACTCGACGGCCGAGGAAAAAAACGGCGAAAACGTAACGCACGAAAAATGTCCTTCACAGGGCGACGACGACGACGACGACGATGACGGACGCGACGTGCGAGATGTCCCAGTACGCGAAAGAACCGCCTCCCGAGTGGGAGTCAAAGTGGACGTGGAGAACGCTCGACGGGGGCGATCGCGCGATGCGAGGCGCAATGGCGCATAAATTGTTCCAAGCTCCAGAGCTCCACGATGCGGCGAGACGAGGCGATCAGAGGAAAGTGATCGATCTCCTCGATCGACGCGCGTTCGGCGTGGACGATCCTGATCCAGGCGGCCGAACCGCATTGCACTTCGCCGTCGGTTTCGGTCACGAAAGCGTCGTCATGGAGCTCTTACGCAGGAACTGCGACATCGACAAGCGAGACGACTGGATGAAGTCCCCTGTGGACTTCGGTTTACAGGCGAAACACGATCGTTGCGTGCAGGCCATTCGCTTGGAGGCGGTGAAGCGAGGTTTGTGGGGAGGCAAAGGCCGCGTTGCTCCGCTGAAGACGTACTGGGAGCACTGTTACAACATGACTTCGGAGGAAGTAGAGGAGAAGGTTCGTGAAAACGCCGAAGAGGCGCGGAAAAACTACTCGAGACAACAGGAGAACGACACGCAGAGCTATCAGGAACAGCTAAAATCAAGGGTGAAACAGGCAATCGAGGCCAAGGCTCGCGGTCGTAAGAGGCGCTGATCGATCCTAGTCTTAGCGCGTTTATAACAATTTGTTCACGACCGCTTCACCGCGGGTAACTCCTCGTCGCAGAGCGGTTGCTCGATGGGTTGTATCATCTGGCGACTTACTCCGGTGGCATCGATGGTGACGAGACGGATCACACCACCCGATGACGCGTCGCGCGCAATCGCGAGAGAGATGGCGCGCTTTACCCACGCCTGCGCTTCCTCTTTTGACATGTTCTCGCGGAACGTGTCGTCGCACCACCCGTAAATGTACGCGCTCCCGCTCCCGCCTACGGTGAACGGATTCTCCATCATGGCTCCACCAAGCGGGATCCCGTACACCTGAGGTCCTAATTTCCGATCGTAACCGGCTATGATCATCCCAGCCTGTAACCTGTCCTTGTTTTGGTATGCGATTTTTTGCGTTATGTTTGCGACGAGTTTCACGTCGCACTTGATTCCCTCGTCCGCGTCGGCCCCGGCGCTTGAAACCGAAACTGCGTGTTCTTGCGCTAATCGTGACACATACGCGGCGACGTTCTGCGTGTCCGCCGCGCTTCCGCTTCGACACATCCACACGTTTTCACATATTGGTGTGATCTTGTCGCTCGCCCTATTGGCGACGTACGTCCCCGTGCTCGTTCGCGAATCCGCTCCGAGAACGACGCCATCGGCGTACTTCACCGCCATGATCGTCGTCTGCGCGCGTGCACGCGGTGGCGCCCGGTGAGTCGTCGCGAAAAAAGCGCGGCACGAGCGCTGTGAGACCCATCGTCGTCGCGTTCGAGAGCGACGCCCGCGCGCACGCACCCCCATGGAGACCGGAACGGTGGTGTAATCAACCATGTCCACGCCCTCGTTCCGCGCGCGTCGTTCGTGCGTTCGTGGATCCCGTCGTCGACCGCGACTGCGGCGCGCGGGCGAGATCGGATCGGTCAAAGTCTCGTTTTCCCAGGCACGACCAGTCACGACGTCACGAGTCGTCGGTTGGGTGACGAAGGACGCGACGACGCGCGTGTCGACGCGCGTGCCGCACCGCGTCGCGCGTGACCGAGGATGCGGTCGAGCGAGGTCGACGTCGAGGTCTCACTCTGTCGCTTCTGCTTCGACCACGGTTCGGTGGACGACCGCGATGACCCATTGATTCGCCCGTGCGCGTGCAGGGGTGGGCAAGAGTACATTCACGCCAATTGTCTCTTGCGATGGCAGCGCGTGGTGCTCATCGCACAACCGACGCACCCGGCGTACTGGCGAGACGATGATCGATCGAACGTGTGCGGGGTGTGTAAGACGACGTTTAAGACGCCGCCGCCGAGCAGACTGACGCTCATGTCGAGCTTCACGGGCGCGGAAATCGCCGCCATGGTGGACGAGGACTTTCTCCTCGTCTCGCACGCCGCCTTTAGCGAGCGCCTGAAGGAGAAGCTTCAAGACATGACGGCTGGGCTTCGAAGAATATGCGGATACGAACACTGGATCGACGGCACGTATCTCATCACGAAAGTGCGCGAGCGAGAGCGTGATTCGTCGGATGAGGAACAAGGCGACCGTAGCGACTCAAACGCCGAGCGAGACGCGGGAGACGCGGACGCGGGACGCGGGGACGCGGGCGAGGACCTCATCGTCGCCGTCAATTTGAACGGTAGAAAAGATCTCGACGAGGTCGTGCGCGGTGAGAGTCGACTTTTTGAGCTCGTCGACGGAGGAAGAGTCGATGGTCGACGGGCGCACTTCGTGCTGAACGATGACGGAGCCTTTGTGGAAACGAGCGATGGTGACGATGAAGATGAGGACAGCGACGGAGAAGTTGGCGACGAGATGGAAGAAAACGCTGAAGAACGGGAAGGACAAGGAGCGCGCGAGAACGAACATCAAGTAGCGGATGCAGAAGATGAAGGAGAAAGAAATGATGATGATGCAGAGGGCGAACGTGGAAACGCTGGACGACGCCGCGTTCGAGCAGGGAACCGAGATCGACGGGGAGGTGTTCTGATGCACCATCTTCGTCAACTCCTATCACCTTTTGGACCGATTTACGATGTGTACCAGCGATACAGACGAAGGGTGGTGCTCTCGGAGGCGTTCGAGTCGGTCGCGCGAGAGTACAACGTCTCTGTCGATGATGTCAAGGCTGGCGTTGAAGTTGAATCATTCACTGGTGGTCCATGTGACGACGACGAGGTCTCACTGTGTCTCGTCGTGGGTGTCGACGACGATCTCGGATACGCCAAGTTTGATGACGGGATAGAGCGTGCGATGAGTCTGGCTTTCAAGACGTATCGCGACAGTTTACGAGGCGACGATGAACGCGAAATACCAGGTTCAATTGTGAAGACGATGGACAATTCTCGCGAGCGCGTCGGCGTTCTTACCGAGTTCGACGACGAATTAAAATCTTGGAAGATTGCTACGACGGTTGGCTTACTAAAAAGAACAAGGGATGCATTCGAAATAATCCAGAGAGTGAGCGCCGTTAAGCTTCTTGTGTTTTTCGGAGACGCGCGATGGTCGAGGTCACAGCTCCTCGGTGAAATCGCGCGAGGACACTGGGGTCTTACAAAATCCGATCCTCTTCACGTCGCAAACTCCAGAGATGCGTACAAGCGCGCCGCTGAATCGGGATTGCTCGTGTTCGCGCCACTGACGGAAATGACAGAAGAGTTCATGCGCAACAGCTTGGGAGAGATGAATCGCATTCGAAGCTCTGGGCAACTGACGCGCGCGACGTCACCTGCGCCATCTCGACAAGGTTGAGCCGCATCGATATGAAATAGCGACATGTATCAACACGCTGTAACTTTTTTACAACTCGCCAAACTTTATCCAAAGATCGTCGACGGCGGGTCCTCCACCATTGATGACATTCGTGTACCCCAACACTTCGAGGGCTTCCTTCGCTTTTTGTCCCCGCCCGCCACCACCGCAGTGCGTGATGATGGGGGTCGTTTTATCACCCGCCGTCTTTACCGCGAGCGCTTCGACCCCTCGCGGTTGCAACCGCTTCGCCGCCCGCTCGTAAGGAATATTCATCGAGTTCGGTCGCGCGGGGGTACCGCACAGCGAAATCGGTGCCGATCCACCGTCTGCGCCAAACTTTGCATCATCCGGCTCGATTGAAAAATCGGGATTGCGCGCATCGACGACGAGGATTTGTCGCCCAGAGGCGGCGGCAACGAACGCATCGAACTCCTCATCCGACGCAACGCCAGGCTTTCGTCCCGCGGACATAGCGACGCAACGCCGCGAGGTAGCGTCGATAGTCGCAACGCGCGAGTGGCGCAAAGTAGTACGAACAAATTGGACGTGTGTGCGTCGGGCGACGGAAGCGAATGCGCGACAGCACATGCGCGCGGAGAAGTGCGGGCGCGGGAAGAATCTTTCGCACGTGTTTTGGGTTTACTCCTTTTATCGACCAGGTGTCTCGTATTTAAGACAGGTGTAAAAGTGTTAGTAGTATATTTCCCTCACTTTTAGGAGTAGGGTTTGATGATTTTGATGCACCACATAATACTAACGCAGCGACAGGGCGCGCATACATCTTACTACATGGAGGCTCGAATTTTGCCACGAGCGCGTTGAACGACACGCTTGCGTGTAGACTGAGTACCGTTCACGCTTGAAAGGTACGTGCGTCGCTTGAAAGGAGCATCGATTTGTATTACAAATTACAATAGTTTCCTAGAAACTATTCAATGACATCACCGGGAATAATTTGCATGTTGTCTCCTCGCTCCGTCATCTGTGCGCGTCCCGTCATTCGCGGTATGGACTATTTTTCTGTTCTCAGAAACTCGCTTGGATCTATCGACAGATGAATTACAATGTTTTTCTGTTCGCGTGGAGACCGTTATTATCAGCTCATTCACCTCTTCATCAGCCATATTTAGCTTTTCGGCCTGGTAAAGCCTTGGCTTTTCTTGGTTCACACGTCTCGAGGTACTCGAGCGCATTCTTCGACGCGTCGTCGAAGTTTCTCAAACGCTTCAGTCGATCTTGGAACCGGATATTGCGGGTTAAGTTGTACCACCACAATCCCACCTGAGCGCCGTCTCTTTCCGGTTTAGGGTTTAGGGTTTAGGGTTTAGGGTTTAGGGTTTAGGGTTTAGGGTTTAGGGTTTAGGGTTTAGGGTTTAGGGTTTAGGGTTTAGGGTTTAGGGTTTAGGGTTTAGGGTTTAGGGTTTAGGGTTTAGGGTTTAGGG